GGTGAACCACAAATATATTGTAAATATCAAGTAGTAATCGCAATAATCTACGTTAACACTTAATCTCATCATAAACTTCATTATATTCACTATATTTGTATACTTCAAATATATCATGCCTCAAAAACTTTTTCCTCACTAATCACTTTGGGTATCATTTAAAATATTATTTAATCTAATAGGTGGACCCAACCCACTAGATATATTAGTTTCATTTGAGTTATTATTTGTTAAATTTCCAGTTAATGACCTTCTTGGACCATTTGATATTGGTTGTAATGATTTTGATGTCAATGATTTTCTTTTTTTAGGTTTTGATAATGAATTTTCTAATTCTGAAAAACTTTGATCTAATATACTTTGATCATTATTTAAACTCATTGACGAATGCATTTCTAATTTATCTGTATCTTTGGCAAGATCATCCATACTTATATCTGAATCTGGATCAGCTTCATTTAATGATTCATCTGGTACATTCCATCTTACTTTTTTGATAGCTTTATTCTTATTAATTGGTGGTCTTAATGGTGATGATGTATTCTTAGTTATTTTGGAAATACCATTTTGTGTCATTTTAGAAATTGGTGAAGCTTTATTGAAAGGTGAAGATGTTCTAGCTCTTGCAATTTGTCTAATTGGTGATGTAGGTATTGAAATTTCAGATGTAATATCATATTGCAGTTGTGCAATAAATTTTTCAAATTTAGAATCAATGTTTAAAATTTCATTTAAAGATTGATCAAATGATTGATAAAATTCATGTAAAACTAAACGCAATTCACCTTTTAATGTATCCATTTTATCTGAATCATTTTGTAATATTGATAATTGATTAATAATTTGAAATAAATTTGTACTAATACATTTAAAATTTGTCATAAAAGAATCTGATAATAAAATCTTATCAAATGCTATTGAAGCATTATGAATAATTGTTCCATCAACTGAATCCTTCATCAGTGATAATGTAGTATCTAAAGTGATTTTATCATAACTTGACCAAGCTTCTAATTCTGATAATTTCCTTATCCCACTATTTGCAGAACCAGATAAAATTAAGTCTAATTCACTCTCTTCATCAAATAATATTTCTAATTCTTGAATCTTATTTGTAATTTTATCAACCAGATCTTCAATTGCTGTATATGCATTTGAAAATTCCAGAATTGGATTATGAATTGAATCAATACTTCTCAGATATTTTTGTAATTCACCACGATGTAACAGTAATAATTTTCTTTTACATAAAATTGATGATTTTTTCAATTTTAAATGTTGAAATTTTTTAGAGTTTAAATTTTGCTTTAAGGTATCAATGAATTCAATAACACCGATTTGTACTCTGTCTTTCTTGTTATTGTGTCTTTCAATGGCTTGTTGAACAATTAATCCTTCTCTTTGTCTTAGTTCATCAATCTCTTGTTTTTGTTCTGTAATTAATTTTAAATAAGAAGCAACATGTCTATTTAATGAATGTTGATTTCTTGAAACTTTTGTTTTGATTTCTTTAGCTCTATTTGCATATTTCAATGTATTCAAAGTTTCATCATAATGCTGACTTGAAGGACTAATACAAACAATCATCACAGTTTTACAATTACCACCTAGTGAAAATTTTAATAATCTTGTTAATTTGGAATCTCTATAAGGAACATGATTTCTTCTTCTTACATCACATAACGCATTAATACAATTACCTAATGCCAATAATGATTTATTAATATTTGCACCTTCATGTAATCTTTCACCTCTATTTTTAGTTGCAGCAGCTCGTTCACTACCAGCAAGATCAATAATTGATAAAGTTGCAAAAGTATGATCTTGTTTAACATCAGCAGTTCTATTTTTCTGTGTAACATTAATTTGTAAAACAGCATGAGATCTTGAAGAGGTTGCATTTGCTTCTGTTGGTGAACTTGTTCTGTTTTTATTACCAATAATAATCATATCCATGACATCTTCAACAGATTGAGGTTTATGAGTTGTCAAATTACTAACATTGATTCTTGAATTAGCATCTTCTCTTAAAGTTAACAGTTTCCCACCATTATCTGGTTGCATTAAATCTCTAATTGTTTCATTATAAATTTCCAGATAAGATAATGAAACATCAACTAATTTTGTATCTTTCAAATCATCAATTCTTTCAAATAATTCCTTCATTGTTAAGAAAATTATCCCTGGAGAATCCATTGTCCCACTAATTGTATGAGTTTTACCACAACCAGTAGCACCATATGCAAAAATAGTACCATTAAATCCATCTAATACACTATCTAATAGAGGTCTTGTAGTATTATAATAAACTTCTTCTTGAGCCGCTCCTTCATCAAATAATTTATCGAAAACAAATCTATGTTCTTTAAATCTTGTACTTCTTTTCCCATTTGTTGAAACATTTTTTGAAATTTTAGCTAATGGATTATTTTCAGGTGGATCAAAAATTAACATTCGATCATCAACAACATCAACAATTTTTCTTAAACCTTTTGGAGCAAATCTTTTTGGAGTTGAAGATTTATATACATTTTCTTTATTTTCTTGTCTTGAATCATTAAAAGTTAAAGCACCATCACCTAAGAAAAATTGATCTTCTTTATTAACAACTAAATGTGAAGCTTCTTGTTGAGTAAATGGTCTTACACGAACCGCTACCGTCACTGAAGATTCTCTTGAAGAAGGTATGCTCATACCGAGTTTTCCCTATATGTAACTTGTCTTTTGTGCAAAGTCAACTCTTGATTGATATGAATCTCTTGTGAACAGAATAAATCAAATTTCAAATCTTATGATTCCCTTTGTACACGCTAAAATGTTTGAATATGAAATGCTAAAATATCACAACCAAGTACCCAAAAACCACAAAAATCACGTAGCAAATGCAAAACCAGACCAACAAAAGACACGAGAACAACAAAGATCCCTTGTTAAAATATGGTACCTAATCAATTTCTTGTTTGATCTCAACTAAATCATCAATATTTCCTTAACAATTAATTTTTGTTTTTTTTTTGTTGATGTTTCGCTTTAAATGAAATCAAAACAAACGATTATGTAATTGTCGCGAATTCAAAGTATGGTACTTATGTGTCACTATGGTAACAATTCAATATAAGTAATTTACAAGTTTTAACTTTTAAACCGTCATGACATTAATATTATAAATAATAAACAAAGAATCAAAGAGAGAAACTAAAGCAGATCAAGATGTATACGTGAGCTTTGCTTTTTTTTTAAAACTTTTCTATATGTTTTTGCTTTTTTTAATTGTTTTTTTCTGTATCAATAAACTCTTTTTATTTGTACTTGATGTGTTTCCTAACTTTAATATTCATATACTATAACTTTCTTCATTGAAGTGGTGCATATAGCACTTGAGTAGCATATTTTCTTTTATATCTAACAACACTAGCAACAGCAAGTGTATTATGTTTTATACTAGTTGTTGCTAAATGATTTAAAACAACATGATTTGGAATTGGTAAAGCACCACTTGAATTACTTTTATCCTGTGTTGAGAATTGATTTAAAATAACACTTTCTAAATGTGGAGGTAATTGAGGTGGTGTTAACCAAGCTTGATTTTGATTATTTTGAGCATTATTATCTAAAGTTAAATAATATTGTTCCATAACTGAAGGATCTGTGAAAACTGCAGGAATATCACTAACATAATTTAATTTTGGTTTTAATGAAGCTTCTTCATGAAATCTTGAATAACCATTACCCATATCATCATCATCATTTGTTAAACCTAAATTAGAATCTTTACGTTCTTTTTCATTTGAAGATAATTGATCAAATGAATGTTTTGGTTTTTGATTATATTGTTGATGTTGATCTTGAACTTCTTGTTCTTGTTCTTTTTCAGTTTGTTGTTGTTGTTTATTATTATTATTATTGTTTAATAAATCATCATTAGTTGAACCATCATGACTCATTTGAATATCAGGTTGTTGAATTTCAATATAATTAACAAAATTACCCATATGATCAGTGGCTGTTGGTAAATGATCAGAAAATTGCAGTTCATTATCAACAACAAATCTAAAACGATGAGTTCCTATTGGTAATTTTAAAGTTATTGAAAATCTATTTGAATTTGGATCATCTTTTGTTAATTTAATCATTTTTCTCCAACCTGTAAAAGACCCAGTAATGAAAACATTTTCACCACCTTGAACCCATTCAATTTCAAAAGGAACAGTATTATTATTATGTTGAGAATCTTGTGAATTATTATGATCTTCTAATTTAGAAATTGATTCTTCATTAGTTAAATCTGGAGTTAAATTATAATCTTCTCTTTTACTTTTCAATTTTTCAAATTCAGGATCATCAGTTAAAATTATAGTTGATCTCCTTCTTGGTCTTGTTTGAGGTCTTGATGACACGTCTTCTTCATGTTGAATTGAATCTTCATTATTATGATCATCATCATTATTTTGTGAATCAATATTCATAGCTGAAGGTTGAGAATTCAGATTTACATTAGATGCACCTGAATCTCTCATTGTAACGTCTTGAGTTGATTGACTATGTTCATTGTGTTCTGATACTGCAGCATTAGCATCATCTATGTTATTATTATGATTGTGACCCATAATTATGAAAATCTTTCTCTTATCTTGTATTAATGCTTGATATGGATTGACTTAGGGATGAGAGATGAGAAAAGAACAATATTTTGATTGAAAAAAAAAATATCTATTTTGGTTCTTTCCCTAATAAAATGTGTTTCTTGCCTTTGTTGATTTGTTATCCTTGGAATCGGAAAGTGTAGCTAAAAATATACCTTTTGAAAACCAGAAAAAACGAGAGAGTATGTCTTTTGGAATATGTTCTTGTCTCTGTGTGTGCCTAATACTATCACCACTGCTGTTTCTTTATAAATGTCAACTTATTCCACCTTTCTTGTGTGTTTCTTTCTTATTTGTTGTCCTTTTTGTTTTCTTTCCAGCGTCTGTTGATGTGTTTTCCCACAATTTCGCTGCCGCCAAAATTCAATTTTTTGATTTTTTGAAAACTTCAACGTTGAGATTTTTAAGACACGGTTAAAATTGACAGAAAAAACCTTTTTTTTTGGGAAATTTGTAAAGTGATGGAGATCTAATTGATTCATTGGAGAGTCTATTCAAAGGGTATTAGGCAGAGATTGTGGCTACGATGGCTGATAATAAGGACACGGCCAAGGTGCCAGAGGTGAAACCAGCTGAGACAAAAGTCGCTGTGGAAGGTAAAGCGGTTGAGGTTCCTGCTGCTGCTGCTAATGGTGCTAATGGTGCTAATGGTGCTACTGCTGCTACTACTGCTAACGCTAAAATCAATCCACCAAAACCAAAAGGTTATACAAATCCTGCATTCCAAGCTATGGGTATCCCTGTTTTAAGACTACCATCAAGAAATTGGATGATTTTTTGGGCTGTTACTTCAGGTTTAATTGGTGGTGTATTATATGATAAATATCAACAATCTCAAATTAGATCTAAATTGTGTGAAAGAGTTGCTAAATATGGTGCTAAACCTTTAGGTCCAAATCAATTATCAAGAAAGATTACCATATATATTGCACCACCTCCAGATGATTATTTAGATGAATCAATGGCAATTTTTAGAAAATATGTTAAACCAATTTTGAATTCTGGTGGTGTTGATTTCCAAATTAAATCTGAAAATAGACAAGGTGTTATAAGAAGTACAGTTGCAGCTGAAATTAGAGAATTACGTCGTAATATCTTGGAAAATGAAGAGAATTTAATCAAATTACAAAATGAACAAAAATGGTATAATAGATTTAAATCATATTTTAAATCTAATAAACCAACAAAGGAAAAAATTGAAGCATTAGAATCTAAAAAATTTACAGATGATTTACAAATGCAAAATGTTTTAGGTGTTTATTATAATAATATTCATAAAGATGATCCAATCAAAAGTGAAGAAGTTGATATCAAAGATCCAACTTTACAAGGTGGTGTTTTATGTATTGGTAGAGGTGCTTATAAAGAATATTTACATGGATTACATGAAGGTTTATTAGGTCCTTTAGAAAAACCTTTAGATCATCGTGAAATGGAGGATTTTAATAAATCAATTGAACCACCTGTTGTAACAAGTATCGAAAATGTTGAATCTAAAGTTGAAAATAATGTTGAAACTCCTGTGGATTCAAATACTTCTGTATCTGAAACCTCAGTAAGTGAAAATAAAGATGGATCTAATGAACAATCAGAACAATCAGAAAAATCAAATGATGAAACCTCTGAAAACAAAGAAAATGATGAAAATTCTGAAGATAAACCTGAAGAATTACCAATTCCAAAACCATTTATATCAACAACTGATTATCCAAATTCTAAACTAGCACCAGAATTAATTAAATATTTAAATTTTAATCAAAAAATACCAACAAATTCACAAATATCACCATTTTTCCAACAACCAATTGCAGTTATTCCTGTTTTTTTCTTACAAGGATTTCTAAATTTCCCAATTCGTCTTTATAGATTTTATACAAGACGTTATTATACTGAAGAATATGGGAAATTGACTGTTGCATTAGTTGAAAATCAAACTAGATCATTTAATAAAGAAACTGATTTAAATTTTGCCTTGGATGAAGAATTAGAATGGCCTAAAAAATGGGTTGATAGAGCTAAAGAAAGACAAAGTGAATGGGTTCAAGAATTGACTGTTGATGATAGAGTTTTAAATAAATTATCAGTTTATGATGAAGGATATTTAAAATAATTTTATTAATCCCTGTTCTTTATGTTTTTTGGTCTTTTAGTTCGAGTTGAAAATTTTTTTCTTCATTTCTAGGTTAAAAAAAGTTAAGCATTACCAACAAAGATTCTTTTGAAGCCTTGATTTCCCTAATTTAAACATGTACATATATCAATGGGAAAAATAGTTTAAAAAGAATCTAATAATATATCATTTTGTTGAAATGTTTTGTTATTTTTGTTGATATTGAATTTGTAAAATGATGGAATTTTCATACAAATTGGGTGGGAAATCAGTTTGTTTTAATGATTTTTCATTCAACGAACAAAATTTTCCATAAAATTTTAAGAAACAATCACAACAAAAATAAGTTTAAAAGCTACAAAAAAAGTTATTGTATAAAGTTGAATAAATTATAATTCTGTTTTTTATTATATGCTAAGAAAATGACTGAGTATTTACAATTTTAAACTATTTAAAACCTTCAAAAAAGAAAGTAAAACAAAGGGTATAAAAGAATACAAAAGGATACAAAAGGATACTTTGTATGAGTATAAAACCAAAGAAAACAATTAAAACACCTGAATGCAAAAATCTAATGAAATTAAAACCAAACTTTGAAACCAAAATTGAAACCAAAATCTAAAACCAGAACTCTATGAATTCATGAAGAATCGTTATGAAATAATCTTTTTAAAACCAAATCTTTTAATCTTTTGATTCATTTGATTCATTTGAATTTGTTAAGAATTCAATTGTATGTTTATATTTTGAATTTCTTCTTTGATTATTTGATGAATCCTGCTGTGAATCAATTTGAGAATCTTGTGAACCACGTTGTGAACGTTGAGAATTAATTTGAATTGGTGTTATAACTGGAGAAGTTTGATCATGATCATCTATTGAACTTAATGAACCAGTTGGAGAGTTCCAACTAAACCCTTGATAATTCTGTTGATAATTATGTTGATAACTTCCTTGTTGATGATTCTGTTGATGTTGACTTAAATCTTTTGATAATTTTCTATTAAATCTTGAATTTTTATTTTCATGAACACTTTTTAAATGTCTATTAAGTAAATCAACTCTACCAAATTTTTTATTACAATTTGATATATGACATTTAAATTCTTTATCAGTTGAATGTACCGAGGATTCATGTCTATTTAATTGACGAACTCTATTAAAACCAACAATTTTCCAAGGACAATCTAAATGAGAACATTTATGAGGTCTTTTAACATCAAATTGATCAAAATGATCTAATAATTCACCAAATGTATAAAAAATTTCATCACAATGATTACACATATAAACACCTTTTTTAGGTTTTGTTAGCACTTGTTTTAAAATTTTTTTATCATTAAAAATTTGTCTTCTTAATGGAATTTTGAGAATATCATTTGCTTCATTATTATTATTATCAATTGATGATGTCCTTATAATCATTGGAAAATTTGAAGGTAAAAATTTATCAATTTCTTCTTGAGGAATCATTGATAAATCATCATCATTTATACTATTTTGTCTTGAAGAATTTGAAGTTGTTGATGTAGTATTATCATATGAATTATTAAATAAATGTTCAGATGTCATTGATATTGTGGTATGATGTAGGTATAAGTTGATATTGGTATGATGAAATTTTGAAATATAAGGTTATGATATTAGGTGAAAGTGAATTTATGGGCCTAAATTGGTGGAAAGATGAAACCTTTTTGATGATAATATGGAGATGATATAATGGTGGGTATTAATTGTAATAATGTATAGTACCAGTTTGATTGATAATGTATGTAATATATGAACAAATCTTAAACACTATGGTGTATTAATTAAGAATTATTTGAAATGAGGATCCAAGTTTATATTTAAATGATATACTTTGACCTCATTTGAAGTATAAATTATTAAAATCAAGAAACTTAAGTTTAAATATATGAATGCAACGCTATGCTACGCGTGTACAAATATCTAAGGTTATTTAATTGCAAACAGCTAGGATTAACACTTTGATTACCCAATGGAACGATGGTTTCAAGAGCAATGATGTTTCATAAATAGTAGCATTACATGAAAAGAATAGGTTGTTAAGTATAATAATTAGCTGATAAATTTTTCAATATGTTGGCTCAAGTTACAAATTGTTTCATCTTCAAACAAATTGTGAGAAAGTGAGAAAAAAAATGACAAAATATCTGTAATTAAATGCGCACAATTCAATTAAAATCTGAGAGGGAAACTTGGAAGATGTTGTACTAGCGTTTAATTTGACAGCTGTTTGTTCATGTTCTGCAATCTTAAGCTTGGATTTGATCCTGATTCCAAGTTTGTTGAAGAGTTGATTCAATTGAGATCTATAGAGTCTTTCGGACATGGATGGTAAGGGAATTACGATGCACAGCGGTTTATCAGATGGGTCGATACGAGAGTGTTCTAGAAGGATGGTGGGTGGGTGGTAGGTGGGTAGTCATTGGTGTATTGTAGTAACTACTGTCTCTGTTTAATCTTCTTTCCTTGGAGTAGTTACTTCACAATGGTTTGAGCTCCATGTTGTCTTTGCTTTGTGATTTTCTCGTACTTTGGATCGTATTCATCTCCCCGAAATCGCTTCCTGCCAAAAACGATCAACTGTTTCACGATGAAACAAAAATTCACAAAGGCGCAAATGTACACACACCAGCAATTAGAACACGGCAGCTGGTAACTTGTAAGCACTAGGCAGGGTGCGTGTTTAGCCTCTAGGCAGAGACAGGGAGAAGAATTAGATATGAACAGGTCTACGTAGCCAACCCTAGGCAGAACATTCAACACACCCAAAGCTAAATAAAAAAAAGGTTAAACAGAAAGAAGTTATTGATGGATTCGTACAGAAACTAACATATTTAAACAGAAACAAACAGTCGGTCACAGTCTCGGGCAACGTAGACAGGATTTTGATTTTGGGAAGTTAGGCTAAAGGCAGTTAACTAGCGTGCTGGCGTTAGGCGGATGAGTTTCCCTTTAGGTTTTCTTGGGACTCTGTCTAAGTTCCCATTGGACTCCCTTTGGACTTCCTTTGAACTCCCCTTCAGGATATTATAGGAGGTTCCTTTAGCGAGAAACTTATCGCTAATACGCTAACAGTGTTAAAATGGATTAAAAAGCCAATTCAATCACTCTGTGGAATGCTGTAAAGTAACTCATATGTGAACAGTGAACAGTTATGATTAGCTCACGAAATATCAAAATTTAACAGCTCATTGCTCAATTGATGGTTAATAGTGGTCTCTAATCACCTTAAGGTCTTTCAATTGTTCATAACTATATACTCAGCTATAACAATTAGCCTTTTGGTCTTTATTGAAAACGTCTTTTATATCTTCTATCTTCTATTTTTCCCATCAGTACATGCAATCAAACTTCTATAGATGATCGTAGATATAAGATATAAGACAAGATGTATGTGGAAGTTCTAATTAAAGATCCGGATATTTGGAATCTGTATATTAACTGGTCTATGTATGGTTCATATTCTTCCGATATATGTTCAATGGAATAACTCAAGTATCAACTGATCTTTAATATGGTTATTAGTTAACCTCTACATCAATTAACCCATGTATAAACCTTCAAACAAATCCTTGCCTAACATAGAATATCTCCTCTCGATTGAAAGACACGTTAGCACATACACACATATCATATACTATTAGCTAATAGCTATACAGTTTTGACTTTCAAACAACAAATGAAAAATGTCTATTATTATTTACCACCCCACGGTTACACGGGGTTTAAAACGTATACCTTAATGCTTAATGCACTCAACTTTAAATAGTATGCAACTTTGATTACTTCAACTGATCAGATCTTATGAAGATTGCAGTTCACGCTAGTGGCTACAGTTTAAGTTGTAACTTATTACCTTAAACTGATCCTAATATAAGCCAATCAATTGTCGGTTATAAATCCCTTTTTAATTAACACCGATAACCCAATATATTTTATATATAAACAATTCCCCATTATATACCAAACTAATACTATACATTTTAAAAACTTTCCAATGTTAATGTCTTTGCAACTTCAGTATCTTCAACTGCTCTTTTGAATTCTTGGAAACTTAATTTCCCATCTCCATCAACATCATTTTCCATTATTGTTCTATCAACAATTTGTTGTAATTGATCTTCATCAAGATTTTTACCAACCATCATTTTTAAAACAATAAATAATTCCCCATTTGATATATATCCATCTTTATCAACATCATATATTTGAAATGCAAATCTTAATTTATCATCTTTAAGACCTTTACCACTAAATATACTTAAACCTGTAATAAATTCTTTAAAATCAACATCTCCACTACCATCTATATCAAATGTTTCAATTAATCTTAAAGCTAATGGATTTGACGCAACACCCGGGATAGCCATGAATTCATCAACTGATATAGTACCACTACTATCAGCATCTAATTTCATAAATCTTTTACGTAAACGATCAATTTCTTCATGATCAACTATAAGAAAAGAATGTTAGCAATCAATATAATCATCATAACTATCAAAGCATATCAAAAACATACAATTTGTACCCTCCATAAGAGAATCAACCAATTTAGACGATGCTAACCCCATTGTAATATAAATCTATCTTTTCCCTTTTCAAAGTTCCTGTGATGTATTAAAGAAACTTGTCAGCTTTTTCTTTATCAACGCTTTTAATTTTCCAACCCGAGAAAATCAAAAAAAAAAAAATCAGAATTCGCGATTGAAAATGAAAATTGATTATGTCATGATTATGTCATTTGATGGATTTTGTCGCGCATTTTGTCGCGCGTATAATAAACATTTGTAGGAATTTATATGATCTTTTTGTTGATTGACTTTTTGATTGAAGGGTTATTTAGACATGACTGTTTCAATTTTTTGTCCATGCAGTGAACCAATTGATATAGGTCATGAAATAGATCCATCGGCATTACAATTGGATTCATTCCCTCAAACAATCATTGATTTAAATACTCATCATTTATTATCAAATTTAAATTATTGTGAACATTGTCAAAGTATTAAATGTCGGAAATGTATTGAACCTGAAGTTATATTAAAATATTGTCCTAAATGTCTTGTTGAAATGAAACCAGATTATAGTTCTTGTTCCAAAAATTGTTTTGATTGTCCAATTTGTAATTCAAATGTTAGTATTCATATTCAATCTCCAAAGATAAAAAATTATAAATTAAAATGTTTAAACTCCAAGTGTCAATGGTCTTGGGAAACTGGTGAATTAGAAAAATCAAGAGCTTTATCCCGAGTGGCAAAATCTCAAATAAATCAAACTGATGAAATGCAAAAATTTAGTAAATTAGAACTGTTTTATATTCAAAGGAAACAAATTTTACAAGGAAATTTCCAAATCCCAAAGAATATAACAATGGAAATGATAAATTTGAAATTAAATGATAATAAACCAATGGATTTAGAAAAATATTTACAAAGAGATTCAATCACAAAATTAAATCAAAATTTAGATCAATCATCAATGACATATTTGAAAAATCAACATTCAAATGATTCAATAATTAATTATAAACAATCAATGAAATCAATAATTCCTCCAAAAGATAAAACAATAAAAATACCACCAATTTCTACAAAATTATCAATAAAAACATCAAAAAGATGTAAAGCATGTAGAAATTCATTAATGAAACCTGATAAAGAAATAACTTCATCAAAATTTTACAAATTATCAAATGCTATAGATTATCTACCAACAATTCAAATTCATAATTTAGAAAATCTACCAAATAGATTTTTATTATCTTTCCAAAACCCTCAATCTGTTAAAATGGAAATAACAATATCATCATATAGTTCCATCCCAACAACAAATCATAAAGTTCATTTACCAATAACTGAAATTTTATTAGATTCTAAACCTGATTCTTCCAAGAATTTAGAAAATTTTGTTAAATCAATCCCTACGGTGATGTTAACAAGAGAAACCAAGATATCAAGGGTAGAATTAATGAATAGATCTAAATATAATTTTGAATATGATGTTAAAGAACAAGGTATAAACTGGTGTTGTTTACCAATAAATATTGAATTTAATTCAAATGAACTGGATAAGAAAATTCCAATTTTCATTACTGTTAAAACTGAATTTTATGGGTTAGGTTATTGGGCTATTTTAGATATTGAAGAATAATAAATATCAAATACTTATATATTTATATACTTGCTAATGTTTAATGAATTTAATGAAATGCTATGAAATAATAGATCAGAAGTATATATTTGTAGGCCGCATAATGTGCTCTGTCATGAAGATCGGGTTCCTAAGCACTATATACAAAAAAAAATCAAAATTTACGCGTCTTCATACTAATAACCAACAACAACAAAAACTACAAACAATTCAAAATGACATCAGAAGAAGAAACAAAGATCCCTATTACCACATTATCAAGATTATTTCAAACTGCTGTTTTTGAACATGAAGATTCTAAAATTACTCAACAAACTTTAGAACTTTCATCTGAATATTTAAAAATGTTTATTAGAGAGGCAATTTTAAGAGCTAATGATGTTCGAGAAAATCCAAAAGATGCTATTAATAAAGGTGATTCAGATGCTTTACAAAATCAATTGATTGGTGATGTGTTAGATGCTCAACATTTAGAAGAAATCGCAGGTTTACTTGTCTTAGATTTTTGATAAAAAGAAACATATATTGATTTTCTAATTAAGGTTTATCAATGTTCTTTATCATTTGGATCAATTTTGAAAATTTTATCAGGATTTAATAATCTAAGAGGATCTAATGAAATTTTAATTCTTCTCATCATATTTACAGGTTCTTCACCTAATTCTTCCAATAGGAAATCTCTTTTACCATAACCAACACCATGTTCACCAGTACATGTTCCTTCGGCTTTAATAGCTCTTTGAACCATATTTGATACCAGTTTTTCAGCTATTGATCTTTGTTCAGGTTTATATAACAAAAAGGCATGGAAATTACCATCACCAGCATGACCAACTAAAGTTGCTGTTAACCCACTTTGTTCCATATCTTGTTGAGTTTCTTCTAATACTTTACCTAGTTTAGATATTGGAACTGCAACATCTGTTGTCCAAATTTGCATATTTGGATCTTGTTGTCTACCTTGATTAATTGTTGACCAAAGTGCCATTTTTCTTGCAGACCATAATTCATCAATTTCATCTTTATTTTTAGCAAATTCAAAATTTGAAGATTTATTTTTTGTTGAAATTTCATTAACTTCATTAATTAATTCTTTTAATACATTATTATTATTTGCACCAATTTTAAAAAATAAAGTTGGAGATTCAATCCATGTTCTTGTAGTTTCACCACTATCATTTACAACTTTCATCATTTTACCATCTAATAATTCAACTGCATTAACTTGAATCCCCATTTGAACAATATCAGCAACCGTATTTGAAGCATCACTAATTTTATCGAAACTAACCACGGCAACAGTTTCTTCTTTTGGTTTGACATGTAATTTTAATGTAGCTTCAGTAACAATTCCTAAAGTACCTTCAGATCCAATAATTAATCCAGTTAAATTATAACCAGCACTTGATTTTCTTGGTCTATTCTTAGTTTTAATTATTGTACCATCAGCTAAAACAACAGTTAATCCAGCAACATTTTCCTTCATTGTACCATATCTTGCAGCATTTGTACCAGAACATGAAGTGGAAATCATACCTCCAATTAAAGCACCAGGGCCTGGATCTGGACCAAATAGTAAACCTTCTTCACCTAGAAACTCATGAAGATCTTCCCATCCAACACCTGGTTGTACAACAACATCTAAATCTTCTTTATGTAATGCAATTATATTCCCCATGTTTTTAGATAAATCTAATGTTATTGATGGTGTACCAGTGGTAGCTATATAATGTCCCTCAAGTGAAGTACCACCTGAGAATGGAATAATTGGGATTTTATATTTATGTGTAATTTTCAATATTTCTGAAACTTGTTCAGTTGATGATGGGAAAACAATTAGATGAGGTCTTTGATCTTCATGAGCATGATGTGAGTTGAAATAAGTATCTGAATGTGAGTCTAATTCTGATTTTGATGTTGCTATATTATCTTCTGATACTATTTTAAGGATCTCTTCTTTAGCTTTTTGGAAATCTTCAATTGATCCATATTGAGGTGGTTTAAGATCATTTAAAGGTGTTGTTGAAGATTCCGGATATAATGAAGTTTTTGAATCATCGTTCGATAACTTGTTTGATAATTGTGATAGTATCCCGGTAGTACCTATAATTGATAATGCTATCCCAAGCAAGGCTTTCTTAGAATATTGATTTGAAATGTGAGTTGATGTTTGTATAGATCTCGAATATTTAACTTGATTTAGGGTTCTTGAAGTCAATCGACTTGAACGAATGACAGCCGATCTGAACATTATTGTATATCACTATGATAATGATCCACTATTAAGTATGCTTTAAACTTCTTGAACCTTTGAAACCCCTGAGTTATTTGTATTTGTATTTATACATCTTATCATCTAGCAAAAGTGAAAAATCTATTGTTCGAGAAACCTTGGATCTCAAATCCCATTTCCACCGGGAATCTACACTATATACTCTTCCATTCACCAATTTTATTTCCCATTTCTAGAGGTAGACTCTAATTTCCGTGGGGTTATTGTGTCTCGTGGGGTATGCCGATTTGACGCAAATTAATGGATTTCGATGGGACAATAAGGCAGATATCATTTGAGCTGAAGAATCATTGGTTTATGGAGAAACGGAAGCATTTATCTTGGTGGAAATAGTGGGATAGTTTTTACATAGTTCATCGTGGAGGTTCTTTGATTCTTGATTCTGGATAATAATTATGATTGATGATCGTGATATAGTTCAGTGCAACCCCCAAGAGGGAAGGATACGAGATACGAGCTTCAAATTACTTATGGTCCATGGAGTCAAATGTCTTAAGAATGAAATCTTTTCATGTCTGATTAGGTACATTTCCCCATATATAAGTTGGAGTCTGGTCAATTAAATTTTAAATTTAACCATCAATGTCTATAATAGTATACATATTAACTCTGATAATCACTCCGATCACTTAACATCCATTTTAATTCTTTAATTTATAGGTTTAGTCTCACGGGTGAGTTAATCTGTAGTATCTTGTAGCTGTTTTGAATTCATCTATGAGCTTGTTCAAATGTTTGAGTTCATCGTAGCTGGATTTTTGCGCCATTGACGGTTTTTTCTGTGTCTCGGCTATTTAAAACATTACTTTAGTTAAGCTTAATCTCTTGATATACTAAAATTTAGGGGATACATCGAAGATATTAGTGGTCGTCGATCACAGAAGTACCAGTTAATAGATATCGAGTAAATATTTTTCAACGTACTAAGTACTGGGTTTTGGTTGACCTTTCCAAATTACCAGCCATTGCAGGGATTATGAGGTATACCGTCGATCATCACTACACTTTTATGGTAGAATTTGAGTTTTAACAGCTTTTGCTAAAACATATTTCAATACTGTTATAAGTATGCTTTATCTAGAGCAAACTTTTCATGTCATTGATGGTCACCAAAGTAGCTAGCAATTGATGTATTATGTTTACATATTTACCGATAAGCTAGTGTTTCGTTGTTGTCGAGCGATAATAATTTTATACATTAATTACACTAAAATTAATGGCTTGCAAGATTGTTCGATGAAGATCTTCTAATCATTGTAGTAAATAACCAGCTTCATTCTATAGAATACACCGAGATAAGATGAGGTTTTGAAGATGTACGATCACGACAACTATATATAGATCTATGAAAGACTGAACTTTAATAATGTTCACTACTTACTATTTAGAATTACTCTCTAGAATTTGAAAAAACCAAGAAATTTTAAAATGAAATACTCACAATTGTCTTTTATATTCATATTATTCACTACACATATACTGGCTTATAGTGATTCAGTTTATAATAAGCTGGTTGAAACTGCAAATTATGCAAAGATATCATATTGTACAATAAATCCACTATTTAACAATGGCCCACTTGCTGAAGAATGTCCAGATACTTCATTTTGTACAAGATCCAAAGCTTCTAATGCTAAAATTGTTTCCGTTATAAAACCAGCATTTACAAAAGGTGCTATAAGTGGTGATTCATACGTTGCTGTTAATGATGATATAAAACAAGTGTTTGTTGGGTTTAGAGGTACTTTATCACTTGGAGATGTTATAACAGATATATCTGCTTTACAGTGCCCATATATTCCAATATTATCAAACAATATAAATAAAAAAGATTTTGAATCAAATTCATCAGATCCAAATACCCTCAAAGATTCAATTATTAATAAATCAACTAATAAAGTTGAGTGTCCTGACTGTTTTGTTCATTGTGGTATATATTCTGCTTTTGCACAGAACATTCAAGAAGTAGTTAGTGCAGCAGTTCCTTACTTGGATCAAGGCTATAATCTAACAGTTACAGGACATTCACTAGGTGGAGCTTATGCATTATTGGGTGGTATTGAATTTATGACTTTGGGTTATAATCCATTATTAATCACATATGCTTCAGTAAGAGTTGGTAATCCATCTTTTAATCAATGGGTTGATGAAACATTATTTGATACTGATGGTTTAGTTGATCTGATACACAGTGGTGAAGATTTACCTTATCCTTCATTTTCAAGAGTTTTTCAAGAAACTGATGAAGTACCAAAATTACCATTTAATATACCTGGATCAATTAAATATACATCTTCTGGATTAAAATTTGTGATTGATAAAGTTCAATTACCACATCCGAAGAATAACGTGTTGTTCCAAGGAGCTTCTAATAACTTTGCTGATGATGCTGCAAACTTAACTCAGGTTCAACCACCAATGTCTGAATGGGTATATCAGCATACACATCAATTTATGAAGTTTGGATGTGATGATTCCAATAGTTAGTGATGAAATTAATGTCAAAAATTTAATATAGATTATCGGATTCAGCGTAGACTAAAGATATTTACCAATACAATGTAGTAAATTGATTCAATCAACCAATTGCGTTTGATCTGAGCTTCAAGCTGAAAACTAGTAGTATATTTAATCTAAAGAAAAAATTACATTACCCCGGGTATATTATGTGTGTCGCGAATTAATTTTATGCATAAATTGTTCACGATATTGGTATTTCAACAATTAAAGGGTGAATTTTAAAGTATTTTATAGAGACTAAACATTAACACCAATAAAAATTTTTCTCTTAATAGCACGATGCCTTTAAAGTAGGTTAAATTTCTTTAAAAAAAAAAATTCTAAAAATTTAATAATGCTCTATTATTAGATTTAACTTCTAAAACCAATAAATCAAAAATCTTTAAAATTTCAAACTTAATTTTAAGCTAATTGAACAATACTAGTGTATTTCTCAGACTTCAGTGATAATTATAAATTAAAATCAGCGCAATAGTCACTTGATTTAGTAGGTTAAAAGTATCTTTAAAGTTTACCAATACATTTTTCGGCCGAAAAATCAGTAGGCAATATACACATTGAACAGCGACGTCCACAACAACTGGTTTAAATAACCATACAAATTAGTGAGAGTAAATTATTCAATAACTGAATGTGAACTATGTTATTATATAATATTTAAGCTATGTATCATTTAAATTATAATGATTGATAACCAAAATTTACCCGTATTATTATTATATAATAGATTATATAATACACAATATATTACCCGCAACTTTAATCGCGAACTTTCGCACGTCAGAGTTTTTCGCGATTGTGTTTTGTGAAATAAGATTTGGGTGGTCGATTTTTTTGGTGTAAATATTGGAAAAAAAAGAATGGTAAAAGTGCCACTAAAACTGAAAAAAAAGGTTTAATTTTTATATTCTTTACACAATACAATATAGAATAAATTAATCGTTGAAAAGATGTCTTGGGGTATGTTAATGAGAGGTCAATTAGAGATGAAGATAAATAGGATATTTCATTACGGTATCTGTCATGCTCCAGATCGTGAAATTATCTTTGTGTCATATAATGTTGAATTATTAAGATCTTGGTTTAACTAACATGATTTTGTTTAGACGACGAAGATTTTGAAGTACCAACTACCTCAAATACTGCTAAAGTTGCTGACTCATGGGAAGATGAATTTGCAGATGAAGATGAACCATTAGCTGAATCATGGGATGCTGAAGAAGAAGAAAAACCAAAACCAAAACCAGCTGCTAAACCTGCCGCCAAACCAGCTGCTAAGAAGAAAACTCTTGTTTCAAGTGGTAGTGTTCGTTTAGATAAAGTGGATGAAAAAACACGTAAAGCATTACAAAGCAAAGCTGAACAAGATTCTGATTTAAATAATGCAGCTGATTTATTTGGTGGATTAGGTGTTGGTGAACATCCAAGAGAAAGAGCTGCTAGAGAAGCTGCTGAGTTAGAAGCTGCTCAACCAAGAATAACAGCTGATACACCAATTGATGCTCATCCATTATTCCAACCTGAAACTAAACAAGATTTTGAAAAATTAAGAAAAGCTTTATCACCAGCTTTAACAAAATTAAATGATCAAAGTTCATTGAATTATGCATCAAGTTTAGCTATTGATTTAATCAGAGATTTAACTAAACCATTATCTACTGAAAACATTAGAAAAGTTATTTCTACATTGAATGTTATTTCTAAGGAAAAGGAAAGAGAAGAAAGAGCAGCTAGATTAGCTAAATCTGGTGGTACAGCAACTGGTGGTGCTGGTAAGAAGAAGAACAAGACTGCTAGACCAAACTTGGGAGGTGCCTTCAAGAAGGACAACGACATCGATACTAGCTACGACAACTTTGGTGATGATGATTTCATGTGATAGATGAGCTTTAATATATAATACTTATATCTTAATCTTATATTATGTAATATGGCTGGCATGGTTAAGTGCCACTGGCGAAAAAACCCGTCAAGCATTTTTCGAGACTTTCGTGATCAAAAAAAGCCGTTTTCAACTTTCCATGTTTTGAAGATAAAAATGCTGAGAAAAGTTTGAATTTACTAGTTTCTTATTTAAATACGTTGAATTCATACTTTTGTATTAAATCATTGATGATATAGTCTTAATCCACAAAAAAACATACAATTATGGGTAAACACTACTATGCCACTGGTAGAGGAGGGGCCGGTAACATACAGTCAGCAGACAAAATCCCACATCCAAATGAAGTACCTCAAGGTTCTCAAACACCAAATTTATTACAACCAGTTTTCTCAACAGGTAGAGGTGGTGCTGGGAATATGATCAAGAATAAAGATCCTGAACTAACGAGGAAATTACAAGATGTTGATCAAGATCCAGAAGATTATATAAGTCCAGTTATAAGTGGTCAACAAAATCCAAATGCAAATATGAGTTTTGGTAGAGGTGGTTTTGGTAATATGATTAGTCCAAAGAATAGTGCTAATGCAAATCAACAAATACAAAGAGAAAAAGTTGGAACTTCTAAAAGTAATGAAAAAGCTAATACTAGTTCTAAAAATGAAGGTGGTTTTTTCAAAAAGGCTAAAAGTTTATTTAAGAAATGATGATAATTAATGATTTTAAAACAGAAAAAAAGAGACAAAAACAACGGTGAATTGAACACCTGTTTACGATGTTTGAATAATGTATAGTAGTATAATAAAAAAGATGTTTGTTCGTTTGAATTGGAATTTGGTGTAGATAATCACCGGCATTGGTATTTATCTTCTTATCAGTGCGTAGCCTCTTTTTTACCTCCGAGATTAATAAAATCTTGGTACATACTACGCCGTGATGAAATCATGTTGATATGATATGCAAATATAAATTAAATAACTATTATACAATTTTAAGCGATAGTAGGAAAACTATTCAATATGAGTGGCTAATTCTTCTAATAGATTGAAATCTCTCTTTTCAATACCACCATTACCAGCTAATTTACTATTACCTTCCAAAAACAAATCAACTTCTCTTGCACATTGTCTACCTTCTTGAATACCCCAAACAATTAATGATTGACCTCTTCTACAATCACCAGCGGTGAATAAATTATTTTCTTTAGGAACTTTATAACTTGAATTTGAAATTGTTGGAATACAACCTCTTGAAGTTTTTTCAACTTTTAATTCTGATAATTCAGGTCCGACAAATCCCATTGATAATAAAACTAAATCAGCTTCAAATATTTCTTCACTACCTGAAATTTCCATCATTTGCCATACACCACTTTCAGTTTTATTCCATTCAACTCTAATTGTACGAATAGCTTTAACATTTCCTTCATCATCACCAATAAATTCTTTAGATAAAATACAATATTCACGTGGATCACGTCCATAATGTTCTTGAACTTCTGAATGACCATAATCAATTCTGAAAATTCTAGGCCATTGAGGCCATGGATTATCTTTAGCTCTTTCCATTGGTGGTTGTGGTAATAATTCAAAATTTATTACTGATGATGCACCATGTCTTGTTGCTGTACCAATACAATCATTACCTGTATCACCACCTCCAATAACAATAACTTTTTTACCTTGTATCTTGGAACGAATTTCTGGTAAATAATCATCTAATAATGCCTGGGTATTATTTGTTAATAAAGTCATTGCAAAATCAATATTTTTCAAATCACGTCCAGGAATTTTCAAATCTCTTGGAATTGTAGAACCAATTGCTAATATGACTGCATCATTTTGTTGTTGTAATTCAGTTAAATCATCAACTTGAGTATTCGTAATGAAATTAATACCTTCATCACTTAATAAATCAACACGACGTTGAACAATTGATTTATCTAATTTCATATTTGGAATACCATACATTAATAACCCACCTGGTCTATCACTTCTTTCATAAACAGTAACCGAATGTCCAGCTTTATTCAATTGATCAGCACATGCTAACCCAGCAGGACCAGAACCAATAATTGCAATAGATTTACCAGTTCTATATTTTGGAGGATTTGGTTTAATCCAACCTTGTTCAAATGCATTATCAATAATTAATCTTTCAATTGATTTAATCCCCACTGGATCATCAATTATACCTAATGTACATGAACCTTGACATGGAGCAGGACAAACACGACCAGTAAATTCAGGGAAATTATTAGTTTCTGATAATTTTTCTAATGCTGTTTGCCATTGATCTTGAAAAACTAATTCATTAAATTTTGGAATAACATTTGATATTGGACAACCAGTATCAGATTGACAAAATGGTACACCACAATCCATACAACGTGCAGTTTGTAATTTTGCTTCAGATTTTGATATAGATTTTGATAATTCTTTCCAATCTCTAGTTCTTGTTTTTGGTGATCTATAAATTTCATGTTGTTGTTTATATTTCATAAAACCTCTAACTTTATCTAATTTTTCAACTTTCTTTTGTTCAAATTGTTTATCAGCAATAGTATCTTCTAAATCTAAAATTTTTGGTTCATGTTTAGTTTGTCTAATTGATGTATGATGAACTTTTTTCAAATCACCATTTGTAACATCAGCTTCTGGATCAGTTCTATGGAATGATTGTAAATAACGTTCACTTTCAACTCTCTTCAATTGTTGTTGTTGTTCTTCTTCAAGCTTTAAAATTCTCTTGTATTCAACTGGTAAAACTTTAACAAAACCACCTAAGTAATAATTGAAATTCTTCAAGATACGATTTGCTAGTTCAGAACCAGTTAATTGATGATGCTCTTCAATTAAATTCTTAACAAATGCTATTTCAACTGGATCGCTTAATTGTGATAATTCAACTGATTCTGCATTGATTCTTGAAATGAATTCTTGATAATCACTCACAAGTACATAAATAATACCACCTGAACAACCTGCAAATGCATTATCAGATTCCAATTGTGATAAAACAACAGCACGACCACGAGTCATATATTCAAATGCATTGTTACCTTTGATTTTCTCAACAACTAAAGTAGCACCTGAATTACGAACAGCAAATCTATCACCTGCAACACCACTAATGAAAGCAGTACCACCAGTAGCACCATAAAACGCAACATTACCAATGATACAATTTTCATTTGATTTAAAACCTTCACTTGAATCCTTTGGTGGTTTTATAATTAAACGACCACCACTTAAACCTTTACCAACATAATCATTCGCATCACCTTCAAGATGGAAAGTAACACCACTTGTTAAGAAAGCACCAAATGACTGACCTGCATTACCTTTCAAATTGACAACGATAGTATCTTGTGGAAGACCTTTTTCACCAAATTTCTTTGAGATACGATAAGATAATGTTGTACCCACAGCTCTATCAGTATTCACAATATTAGCATCAATAGTAACTGGTAAACCTTTCTCCAATGTGATTTCAGCTTCATCAATCAATTTATTATCTAAACGAATATGTAATTTATGATCTTGTTTCTTTTGGAATCTAGTAGCAACACCTGGACGAATTGTATGTGCTGGTGTTAAGATTGGTGATAAATCTATATTACAATTTTTGGTTGAACGATCTTCTCGAAGTTTTAATTTCTCAGAATGACCAATCATTTCATCAATTGTTCTGAATCCTAATTTTGCCATAATATTTCTTAAATCATTGATCAAATAGTAAAAAAAGTTTATAACATGTTCTGGAGCACCTTGAAACTTCTTTCTTAACTCTTCATCTTGAGTTGCAATACCCACTGGACATGTATTTAAATGACATTTACGCATCATAATACAACCCATGGTGATTAATGGAACAGTAGCCAATGTAAAACTTTCAGCACCTAATAAAACACCAACGGCAACATCAAATGCTGTTCTAACTTGACCATCAGTTTGTAACACAACATTCCCTCTCAAATCATTTAAAACTAATGTTTGGTGAGATTCAGCTAATCCCAATTCCCATGGTAAACCAGCATTTTTGATTGAGTTCCATTTAGCAGCACCAGTACCACCACCATGTCCTGAAATTAATATATGTTCAGCTTTAGCTTTAGCAACACCAGCAGCAACGATACCAACACCAACTTCAGAAACTAATTTAACAGAAATTCCAGCTCTTGGATTTGCACATTTCAAATCATAAATCAATTGCTTCAAATCTTCAATAGAATAAATATCATGATGAGGTGGAGGAGAAATCAAACTAACACCTGGTGTTGAACGTCTTGTTTTAGCAATTTCTGGTGTAACTTTACCATAGATACTAGCATCAAACTTGACTTGTTTCTTAGCTGTGGTTTCAGCCATTTTGAAAAGCTTGATCTACTAAAGCTCTATTCAACAACACCATTTTTGGAGTTGAAAAATTAGCTCTTGAAGGATACGTAGCTCTATATATTCAGTTGAATACCAAGTCTCAAATACAAATAAACTTATGATAAGCTGATAAGGTCATATTTAAAAGGTTTAGTCCTTTGGGAAAGTCCCAGAGTTTATACTATGGTCTACGGTCTCTGTGGAGATGGAATTTGTGAGACTAAGCCAAAATTCAAGGAACCATCAAATTGATTTGTGAATAATGAACCCCCAAGTGGTGTATTGGAACAAAAGTACAGTAACTAGCACCCATTCATCCTTTGAAAGTAAACATAAGGGACCAAGTTTTGGTGATCTGAGAATATATATGTGACGCATAACTCCACAATTGATTACGTTTGGAGGATCGTGATTGGCCATCACTTTATGTGCCAAACGTGGTCTGATAAGTGGCCTAGTCTTCTGTAGTCCGAGTCTATTTTATAATGCTTCTAGTGTTTACATTTGAGACAAAAAGAACATTTGATGATGTACAAAACTACAAAAATGAGTTGGAAACTAGAAACTTTCAAACATAATTACATATATTTTACACCACTTATAAATATCATACAAACACGTTGAAAATTTGAATAAATTTAAACTCTAAGTTCACCACCTTGACCTGGTTTAGCAGATTGTGCCATCTTGATTTGTAAATCATCAGCATCTGATAAATAATAAGATGTGACACCAAATCTACCAGATGCAACTTGTTTTATAGCTGATCTCATAGAATCACCGTTTCCATTGACGATGGATCTTTCTGGATCTTCACCACCTTCACCACTATTAGATTTAGCATTCAATCTATTCATTGCAACAGCTAATGTTGAATGTGCTTCCATTGAAATAGAACCGTATGACATCGCACCTGTTGCAAAACGACGTGCAATTTCAGTCCAAGGTTCAACTTGATCTAATGGGATTGGTGTTGAATTTTCATAATCCAAGTCTAACATACCACGTAATGTACAATCTCTTATAGCTTCAATCTCTTTTTTGGTATAAATTTCAAAAGCATGTTCATTTTTATTACGAACAGCATCTTGTAATGAAGCAATTGAAACTGGATCATTGATATGTCTAACACCACCATCTCTCCAATGATATTCACCACTTTCTGGTAAAACAATTGGTTTTTGAGTTTTTCTTGAAGGATAACCACGTTCATGTAATGAAAACGCATCTTGTGCAATATATTCAAATGTGACACCTTTAATTCTTGATGCAGTACCGTTAAAACAAACATCAATGACAGAATTATCAATACCTAAAGCTTCAAAAATTTGTGCACCTTTATATGAAGCTAAAGTGGAAATACCCATCATAGACATAACTTTTAATATACCGGAACTTGAACCTTTAATATAATTATCCATAACCTTGGTATCAGTAATATCATCACTTCTGATTAAACCTTCATGTTTCATTCTAATCAAGGTCTCAATAGCCAAATATGGATATATAGCATCTGCACCATAACCTAGCAAGACACAGAAATGATGAACTTCTCTAGCTTCACCAGTTTCTAAGACTAATGCAACTTTTGAACGTAATTTTTGACGGATCAAATGATGATGAATGGCACCAACAGCGATTAGCGCAGATATTGAAACACGAGTTTTACCAATTGCTTTATCTGATAACACAATGATTTGACAATCATCATAAATAGCTTCAGAAGCTTCGGTTGTAATTCTTTGAATTGTATCAACATAACCTAATAATCCATCTTCTTTATCAAAGGTGATGTCAATATTGGCAACTTTCCAAGATGGTATAACTTCAGAAATATTTTGTAAAGCTTTAAATTGTTTTGGTTTCAAAATTGGTGATTCCAATAATAATCTTTCACATTGTGTAGCAGTCATTTCTAATAAATTACCTTGAGGTCCAACAAAACATTTTAATGACATAACATTAGCTTCACGAATTGGATCGATTGGAGGATTTGTAACTTGAGCAAATAATTGCTTGAAATAATCATACATCAATACTGGATTTTCATTCAAACATGGTAATGGTGCATCATTACCCATAGATCCCAATGCTTCTTCACCTTTCAATGCCATTGGACCTAATAATAACGCCAATTGTTCAAATGTATAACCTAAAGCCATTAATCTTGGATCACTTTGAGTAGTATATGAAGGATCAATGATTGGAAGATCACTGAGTTTGATATTTTTGCTTTCAAGCTTAGGATACAAATTTTCTAATTTGATAATTTTGGATAGCCATGTTTTGAAATCAAACTTTGTTGCAACGGAATTTTTCAGTTCTTTATCATCAACAATTTTACCTAATTTGGTATCAACTAACAACATAGTTCCTGGTTCTAATCTTCCTTTAGACAAAATAGAGTGATTGCTGATTGGGATTACACCAACTTCTGAACCACAAATAATACGATCATCATCAGTGATATAATAACGACATGGTCTTAACCCATTTCTATCCAATGTAGCACCACAATATCTACCATCTGTAAAAGTGAATAACGCAGGACCATCCCATGGTTCCATTAAACAAGCAGCCCATTGATAAAAAGCCTTCTTTTTGGAATCCATATTTTTATCATTTTCCCATGCTTCTGGAACTAATATCATAACAGCTTCAGGTAAACTTAAAACACCATTAAGAGTTAATAGTTCCAAGACATTATCAACAGCAGCAGAATCTGAACCACCTTCTTCGATAATTGGATATAATTTATCCAATTCTTCACCAAACACTCTAGATTCCATAACACCTTCTCTTGATCTCATCCAATTCTTATTACCTCTAAGAGTATTGATTTCACCGTTATGTGCTAGCCATCTTAAAGGTTGAGCTCTATCCCAGGATGGGAATGTATTTGTTGAGAATCTAGAATGAACAAGTGCAAAATGTGATTCATAGTCAGCATTTTGTAAATCATGATAATAGTTATAAACCTGACTTGGTGTTAATTGACCTTTATAAACAATGGTTTTATTCGATAAAGAACAGACATAGAACCAATTTTGTAATCCAATAGAATTTGTAGCTAGTTTTCTCAATATGTATAATTGTTTTTGTAATTTGTTTTCATATTTGGATTCAAATTCTTCTGTTGTTATTGATCGATCATCTTTCATTTCAGCAAGTACAACTATTGGTTGCAAAATTATTGGTTCTCTTGATAATGCTGAAGTACCTAAAATTGAAGAATCGGTTGGAACTTTTCTCCATCCCAAGACCAATAACCCAAGTTGTTTAGCTAATTGTTCAAAAGTTTCCTTTGATTGTGCAAGGATATCTTCATCCTTTTTGAAGAAGATGTTACCAATAGCATATTGACCTTCATTTGGGATTTCTAAATCTAAAAGATACTTAAATTCTTTATGGAAGAACCTATGACTTATACCCATCAATATACCAGCACCATCACCATTACCATCACTGGAAACAGCACCTCTATGTGTCATATTACATAGCAAATATTTAGCATCACTGACAATCTTATGACTTGATACACCTTTGATGTTACAAACAAAACCAACACCACAAGCATCTTTCTCATACTCAGGATCATAAAGACCTTGCTTCACAGGCAAAGTAGCAGCCCATGATTTGTTTTCTGGAACTTCATCATACTGATAAGCTTGTTTGGATACTTCGTAGTTGTCGTCGTTGATTGTATCGGAAACCATTATACAATCTTTTCGTCAGCTCTTTGTATATCTCTTCAGATAACCGCCAGCGAAACAAAACTTTTGAAGAAATCCATTATGAAATGAACAAAATTCAAAACTTCAGTAATTATATCAGAACGTTAATTCTCAAACAGAGCACATGATTAAAATTTTTGTGATGTAAACAACTGATAACCAAACTTAAATTTGAACGCCAAAATTACGAAAATGGGTCTCACTTACATAAGCATACCCCATAATTAGGGGATCAACTGATAAGAGATAAACTTCAGGCCAATCACAGAATCCCAAAGTGTAATCAGATTGAGAATAATTTAAGATTGAATGGAAACAATAGAAATTTATAAGGAGTACTGCAGGTGTTCAAAGGTCTTGCTTATAATTGTGGTGATGGGACTACGCAGCTTGTCTCACATGGCCGGGACTTGAGGAACGGCTATAAGTAATCGTATCATTATAAATATACTATAGACTAGTATTATGCTTATGAAATAACTTTGTATATGAACCATCATATGAGCTAGATTGTAGCTTATGTGTTAGGGCATAGGGAAGAGTGATGATTTTGTATCTTGTAGCTTCAGCTGGTGCTCTGATACAAATTGGTCTTTTGATAGCCCGAGACATAACAACAGCTAAAGTTATAATTATAACGTAGAATATTGTAGAATAGCCTTATTTGCCATTGGAAAGTGTTAAGAATGATAGTTTTGTATCTTAGCTCGAAATACACATGATGAGTTTCAAATAAGTTCGACATATATAAGTTATACAATTAATTGATCCTAATCTTTATTGAGCCAATCTCTTTTACCCACCCTTTCAGGATTGTAAGCCTTAATTTCCTTTTCAAATTTTTCTTTGGAAACATTAGAATTCCATCTCAACTTATAAGCAGGATGATCTTCATGAAAGAAATTTTGACCTTTGACACCAAAAACATTCTCTCTGAAAGTACCACCTGGTACAGGATATTCTTTATGGAAAACTCCTCTTTTTTGTAATTCAGGAATTAAAAGTTCAACAATATCTTCCAAAAATTGTGGATAAACTGCATTAAAACCAAAATTGAACCCATCAATATCATTTTCTTCGACCCATTGTTCTAATTCATCTGCAACTTCTTCAGGTGTACCAATGAATGCTCTACCAAAAAGTCCATATTTGTTGTAACTATCCAAAATGTCTCTTTTGGTTTGTTGTTTTTGACCTTTGTTGATGATTGATTCAGTTGCTGAAGCCATTGCATTTGAAGTTGGTTGCTTGGTGACAAACTCATCATCTTTGAATTTACTGATATCAATTCCTGTAACAGAACTGAAAGAAGCAGCAGTCCACTCTTCACTTGTATATTTCAAGTATTCTTTAACTTTATTTTCAGCTTCTTCATGAGTCTTCCCCAAGATAACATTAGCTGGAATCAAGAATTTCAAATGATTTGGATCTCTACCGTATTTTTCCTTTGCTAATTTCTTAACATCCTTGACTGATTGTGAGATTCTTGAAGGATCATGACTGTTCAAGAAGACGACTTCTGCATTTTCAGCTGCAAATTCAAGACCACTCGATGAAGATCCAGCTTGAATAATCAATGGAAATCTTTGTGGAGTTGGTTGGAAAATTGAAGGACCAGGAACATCAAAATATTTACCTTTATGGTTAACTTCTCTAATTCTATCAGGTGGAATGAATACACCATTTTCTTTATCCTCTAAAACAGCATCATCTCTCCATGAGCTTAACAATAAGTCGTAAACAACATCCAAGTATTCAGATGTTTTCACATATCTTTCATCATGTGGTGGTAATTCACCATTAAGTAATTGTCTACCAACACCACTCAAATAACTTGAAACGATATTCCAACCAACACGACCTTTACTCAAGTGATCAGCTGTTGCTAGTCTTCTTGCAAAATGATAAGGATGTTCACTAACAGTTGAAGCTGTAATACCAAATCCAATGTTTTCAGTATGAGTAGCTAAAGCACTAACTAAACTGAATGGTTCAATTCTTGCAACGTTTAAACCTTCCTGTGCAGGAATCTCATAGTTATTTGGACCTTTATAATTATCAAATAAAGCTAAATGGTCAGCAATGAAAACAGCATTTAATTTCCCCTTCTCAGCCAATTGAGCATATTCAATCCAAGCATCAACACTATGTCCCAATCTACTACTTGTATCTTTTGGATGTCTCCACTTTGATGCACTACCGTTACCAGCAGCGTTAATGATCCATTGTTTCTTTGGTTTATCAGTTCTTTGTTTTTTTGTAGCTTGTGTCATTGTACTATGGAAAAGTTGATTGATTAATGTATCATAGTGGAAGACAAGTTAATGGTGGATTGATAGATTTTATCTAGATATCTATATCACCCAAATTCAAGGAAACTATGGCGTTTGATTGTTCATCAAAATTGTGACAACCACACTTGAAAGTTGAAACTCAAAGAACAGAACTTAGGAGGTAGAGGCGCTTCTGATCCGACAAGATTTGAACTTCTAGCTCCTGGTTTATAAAACACATAAGAGCTGGGTCATTGACTGTGATCATTTGAAATACTGTTCAATCGGATTGGGATAACGGGTTCAATGCGCGTTCATTGTGGTGACTGAACGTTGTAAAACAACCGAATTGATACCAATTTTATTGAGTAGCCCGAGTGATGTTGGATCTCTCTTGTAATTATTGACCAAAGGCATATGAGCTTTTAAGTTTTCTGATTCTTGGTTGAACTTCAGTAAATCATCACAGAAGTTAACTGTTATAGAAATTGAGTTTGCTTTGATTGTTGAAATGTTGATACCTTAAATGTGAGGTTTCTGTGCGTTGTCCTGACAACCTTTTATACTCATTTTTGGTGGCTTCAAAATTCAAAATTAGAAGATCAAGCGAGCCGAATATGATTTGACGATTTAACGTACACAATTACATACATATCTGGTTTAATTAGCGGCATTCTACTCCTATGGAAATAATTGTGGGTAGATAACTATAATTCTTCACCACAGTTGCTTATTGACCGTTTATGGTGGCTTTTCACCCATATCATCATTTAATCACAATGGAACAATTTATTTTGACTTTTGTGAAGGTAGTAGTATAATATAAATTATTTCAAACATCCACAATGGCCAAATAACCCTAGACCAAAACCTTAATAGTGTATCAATCTCTATACAGTCTGTTTCCACAATGAGTTCCAAAGAGAGTGAGCTTGAGAAAGGAGTCCAAGTGCAGAATCCCATTGAGATTGAAGAAACTCCAACCCAGAAATCAAATTCGTTTGCCGAAGCTTTTAGAGCTTTATTTGTTTGGTACCCGTCAACTTTAGATAAAGCTGAGAGAAAATTATTAGCCAAGCTAGATCTTTCAATTCTTCTTTATGCTTGTTTATCATATTTTGTCAAGACTCTTGACACCAAGAATTTGAGTAATGCTTATGTTTCCGGTATGAAAGAAGATTTAGGTATGAAAGGTAACGAATTAAATTGGTTAAATATTACATACCAGATGGGTTATGTTGTTGGTCAGATCCCATTAACTTTGTTGTTAACACGCCCAAAGATCTCAAAATATGTGTTACCAACGCTTGAAATTATTTATGGGGTTTTAACTATATTACAGTCAAGAGTTACCACAATTGATCATCTTTATGTTTTAAGATTCTTTTCAGCTTTCTTTGAAGCACCAACCTACGCAGCGACCCATTATGTGCTTTCGATGTTAGTATTTTATTTAAAGAGCTTTTGAAGAAATACTAACTTTTTAAAACAGGTGGTATAGTACAGAGCCTACTAAAACAGCTTCTGGTTCCATTATTAAACCCCAACTCTATGCTAGAACGGCAGTTTATTTCATGAGTTATTCAGCAGGTAATATGATCTCTGGTCACTTACAAGCTGCTGCTTACACAAATTTAAGTGGTGTTCATGGCCATAGTGGATGGCAATGGCTATTCATTATTGATGGTATTTTTACTTTAGGTGTCAGTCTAATCGGATTTGCTTTATTCCCGGGTATTCCCGAATCAGGAAAACCTTTATTATTAACTGAAAATGAATTCAGTTTAGTTAAAGAAAGGTTGAATCAAAATGGTATTAAAAAAACCAAAAAGATCAATTTGAACTTGATCAAGAGAACATTCACTGATTGGAAATGGTACTTTTTTGTATTTAATTATACCATCATGGTTATTGTCTGGTATCCAATTGCATATTTTAATTTATGGCTAAAAGCACAAAATGGGAAATACACCATTGATCAAATTAACCAGTACCCAACAGTGTGTGATGCTATTGGTATTTTTGTCTCTTTTTTTGGTGTTGCATTAGCAGCCACATATCCGCATTGGATATTGTACTCTATAAGTACACTTGGTCCATTAGTTGGGACATTAATAATGAGTATTTATAACGTCCCTGATGGTGCTGTTTTCTTTGCCTTTTATATAAGTTATTTGATTAATGTTGATAGTCCATTGTTATATGCATTTGTTGGTGTGGTATTAAAACATGATTCAGAACAGAAGGCTTTCATTGTTGGATCAATGATGACAGTCGCTCAATTCACAAATAATTGGTTAGCATTAGCTATTTTCCCAACTTCTGCAAAGAATCACCATAGAGCAGCTCCTGAATGGAACATTGGTTGGCCAATTTGTGTTGTTTTATCTGCTATTATGATTTTCACTTATGTGTTCTTTACTTGGTTACATGAAAAGGAAAAGAAACAAGGTAAAGCTTTCAAAAACCTTGATGAAATTGAAAAGATTGAAGAGAGTTCAAATAGCGATGATGGTGAGTCCTTATCAAGTGTTAGAAAGAGATCTTATAAAACTGATGTCAATGAGGTTCATTCTAACTGAACTGTATCGAATATAGAGGTGTGTATTATCACAAATCAGCTGGGAAAGAGCTGATGTTGATTAATATGTATATGTGATTTCAAGAATTTTTAATCATGTAGTGGAGAGAGATTCATTCCTGGAGTTCTGTTAATCAGCTTATAGCTCCATCTTCCGCAAAATCTCGAATATACAACAGTACGGACCGATCCACAGTTAAAGCTCAAGCTAAATTATACCAAAAAAAAGATGGCTTTCCATGATATACAAGATAATTATGTGGTAAAGCCAAGCAGATTACAAATATCTGAAATTGATATCTTGGCTGAAGTGTTAAAGCGTAATGTATTTAAAAGATGTGGATTCTAAGATAATACGTACTGGATATCTTTTGGTAGTTGTGCTTGTTTTAGGTTGAGTCGTTGAATTTCAGAAGGATTAAAAAAAATGAGTTCAAAAGAAACCGTGGGTGTGATATCCCAAAACAAAGAGCCTTCAACAGCAGTTAAAGTCGTGACTGGGTTCACAAACAAGCTATATGAAGGATTTAGAGCTCTCTTCATTTGGTATCCCTCAAACTATTCCTCTGAAGAGAAGAAACTATTGTTCAAAGTGGATATTTCAACTTTGATTTATGCATGTGCCTCATATTTTGCTAAAACTTTAGACACTAAGAATATCAATAATGCCTATGTGTCTGGAATGAAAGAAGACTTAAATATGTATGGTAATGAGCTTAACTGGCTTGTGTTGGTTTATCATATGGGTTACGTGCTTGGTCAAGTTCCGGGATTACTACTTTTATCAAGACCTAAATTTTCGCGGTATGTTTTACCAGGTTTGGAGATTGTTTATGGTCTTTTGACATTTTTACAAAGCTTAGCCAAATCTACAAAACATCTTTATGTCTTAAGGTTCTTTGTTGGTGTTGCAGAGTCCCCAGTATACGCAGGAATCCACTATGTGTGTATGTGAAATTTATTTTGAAAACATTTGAAGAAATACTAACTAAGCTTTTTAGTGGGCTCCTGGTATGGGACTAGAAGCTTTAGAGGAAACCCACCTGAACTATTTGTTCGTACATCTGTATACTTTCTTAGTTTATCTGCTGGTAATTTAATCTCAGGACATTTGCAAGCTGCTGCTTACACAAACTTGAGCGGGGTTTACGGTAAAACTGGATGGCAATGGCTTTTTATCATTGATGGTATAATTACTATTGGTATCTGTATTTTAGGTTTCACATTATGGACAGGTATTCCTGAGGCTGGTAAACCTATGTTATTAACAGAGAGTGAATATAAACTGGTCTTTGTGAGACTGAAAAGATTTGGTATTAAGGAGTCAAAGAAATTAGATTTGGATGTTTTCAAAAGAGCATTGACAGACTGGAAGTGGTATTTGTTCTGCTTCAATTATACAATTATGGTCATTTGTTGGTATCCAATAGGTTACTTCTCATTATGGTTGAAACAAAAAGGTACTTATACTGTTCCTGAAATAAATAGGTATCCAACAATCTGTGATGTTATTGGAATAATCGTCTCGTTCCTGGGTACTGGGTTAGTTGGTGTGTTTCCACACTGGGTGCTTTATACAATTGGTGCTACGGGTACCTTAATCGGTGCATTGATAATGAGCATCTATACTGTTCCAGATTCTGCTGTTTTTGCTGCATTTTATATTTCATATTTCATTAATATGACATCACCCATCCTCTACTCTTATGTGAGTGTCATTTTGAGAGAAGATTCAGAACAAAAGGCTTTAATTGTTGGATCAATGATGACATTTGCCCAGTTCACAGTTGTATGGATAGCACTAGCATTGTTCCCCACCAGCGCGAAGAATCATCATAGAGCAGCACCAGAATGGAACATAGGATGGCCTGTCAGTGTGGTTTTAGCTGGACTTATGATCTTGTCATACTGGCTTATCACATGGCTTCATGAAAGAGAAAAGAAACAAGGAATCGCTTTCAAAAATGATGAATTTATCAATGAATATGACGACCATGATTTAGACCTTGATAGTGTTAGTGTTGTTTCATCACAAGCTGGAGACAGTAGATCTACTGCTCATAAGAGAACTGATAAACAGAATGTTAAAGAAGTCAACCAGAGTGATTGAACTTTGTATCTTGTATATGGCATATGGTATTTTAATACGTGATAAATTTTAATTAATTTGTGTAAGTTCATCTACCACGTAAATGCGTAACCACAGCAACTGTACATCCACGAATTTCTTGATGATATCCCAAAGGAGAAAAGTTAGCACAATTATACCATTCAAATTATCTTGTATTGTAAAGTAAATATTGGCCACAGTGAGTTCCTCCAAGAACGACCGTTAAAGACACCATTTTTGGATATATCTCCTTATTATACTGTACTTAAAGCATGAAAATAGCGTTATCAGTTGATGTTTTTGCAAATAGTTGAGTAAGTTATGCTAGATCATGGAGTATAAGAGTAGCCCAATGTGTCAGCTCAAAAGTTCAAAGAATAATGTTTAGTATGGCATTGAGTCGTTATAAGTACTATAAAATCTTACAAAGATGACAGTTCCAGAAGCTTCAGATGCTTTAGATCAAACAATCAAGACCCCCAAAAAACCACTTATTTTGAGTGTCGCAACTAAGTTAACATCAATCAATTGGAGAGATCCAACAGATAGATCAAGAGAATTATCAAGAGATATCAATGAAATCATCAATTTTGCACAATTAGCAGAACAAGCCAAGATACATAACATTTTTTTCGTTGATCATTTAAGTTGGTTTGATGTTTATGGTGATAGTCATGCAACAGCTGCAAGAACTGGGTTTAATGCTACAAGAATTGATCCATTAACAACTATTTCAGCATTAGCTAGTCACACTAAAAATATTGGATTCATTTCAACTTTGAGTACAGTCAGTGAACACCCTTACCATTTTGCAAGAAGAGTTGCATCTGCTGATTTATTGAGTGGTGGTAGAATTGGCTGGAATGTTGTGTCTTCTTATATTCCAAGTATTGGGAAAAACTTATTGAATGGTGAACCCTTTCCAGAACATGACGAACGCTATGCTAAAACCACTGAATTTCTTGATGTTTTATACGCATTATTGTTGAGCTCTTGGAGAGACGATGCTGTCGTCTATGATAAAGAAGCTGGTATTTTTGCCAATCCTGATGCTTTAAGAGAAATCAACCATGAAGGTAAATTTTTCAAAGTGAAAGGCCCTGGTATTACTGAACCTACACCACAAAGGTTTCCTTTAATTACTCAAGCTGGTACTTCCAAAAGAGGTGTTGAATTTGCAGCTGAAAATGCTGAATTAATTTATATCGGTTTTGATTTTTTACCAAAGATTCCTGATATTAGAAAATTAGCACACGAGAAGTTTGGTCGTGATCCATCATCATTGAAATTCTTCACACGCATTGTTCCTGTTATTGGGGAAACTCACGAAGAAGCTGTTGCTAAGTTTGAAGTATATAAGAAGTCAGTTGATCCTGAATCAAATTTAGTTTCATTAGGCGGTGTTACCGGATTTGACCTATCAGGTTATGATTGGGATGATCAAGTTGAATTTCCAGATCATACTAATGGGATTCAATCATCATTAGAAGGTTTGAAAAAACGGAAGCTAGCACCAACTAAAAAAGAGTTGGCTGATAAACAATTGGAATCTGCAAAATATGTGGGGACAGCACAAGAGATTGCAGACCAACTTGAACAAATTGCCACAGATTATGATATTGATGGCTTCAACTTTGCCATAAATAACTATCCGGAATCTTTGGAAGATATTGTTCATTATTTAGTGCCAGAATTACAACGCAGAGGTCTTGCACAAACCGAATATGCGGCACCAGATGGGACCCTTAGAGAAAACTTCAACAATAAACCAGGTCAATCATTCTTGAGTGGTGATCATCCAGCTTATAGTTTGAGATGGAGAAGTGGTGTTTCCAAGGAACAATTTGAACAAGAGCTGGAAATATTCAAGAAGTTAAGAGATGAGAGAAGAAAAGCGTAATTGTAAACCTAAAACAGTTAGTGTTGGCAAATGTTAAACTTCTTTGGAATTATAATTGCTGATCAATAGTATAATATTTAGAGCTAAATAAAAACAAAATAAACGTTTAAATTGTTCGATTTTACACTTTGAAATCCCGGCCAATTTGGTAGCTATACTGATTTGTAATCACCAGCACAAGTATTACATAAGCCGTCGCTGAAACATGCCGCGATTCTCCACCCACTTAAAATTGTTGGTGTATTTTGTTATCAAGATAAATAAATCAATAAAGAACATTTGGGCAAATTTCAAACCAAAACAGAAAGAATCGAGAAAACCAGAACCAAGATAGGTACATCACTATAGAGCAAATTTATGAACAGGTTTAACTTCACATGATCACGTTGGCAAAGTGACACAAAAGCTTTGAAAAACGGTTATTACAAGAACGGAAGTTTCATAGATTTAATTTTCTCAACCCCAGGTATTTGATTGACTCACCGGTATTAAAGATGTTGGTAACGTTTGAAGCTAAACAGACCAAACAAAGATCATTGAACAACAATAATGTCAATGACAAGGTACAGTCCACGGAAGATGAGACTTATGAGATACAAAATATCGACAAGAACAATCCTCCAGATATAAAATCGTTCAATATCACCAGAAAGAAGCATAAAGGTGGTTGTATAACGTGTAAAATACGGAAAAAGAGATGTTCTGAAGAAAGACCATTATGTGCTGATTGTTCAAGGCTAGGAAAGAATTGTGTTTGGGCTACTGAAGATATGTCTGTTGATAAAATACGAGAATTGAAAAGACAAGTTGAAGAAAGTGAAAGAAGTTCAAAGAGAAAACGATCTGTTAGTTCGAATCAACCAGATCTATCTGCATTAAAGAGAAGGAATTCTTCAAATCAAAAGCAAAATAGTGGTGATTCAAATAAAATTGTGAATACTAGTGCTCAACCAACTCCTATAAGTCCAAGTGGATTCATTGAAGGTGATATTCCAAGTTTAGATGGTGAAATGACTGTTAGAACTCCAAAAGATCAATCTCATCAATTTCCATGGGAATTCTCACCAGTTTCAAACGATCATTTGTTTGAGTTTAATAATTTTTTTGAAAGTAATTTAAGAAGTAATTCAAATAAAATATCAGATCACAGGATTACAGACCTATCGTCACAAAATTCATCAACAAATACATTAGAGAGAATATCATCATTTGAAAACTTGTTATCAAGTCATAATTTATCAACTCATTTATCACCACCATCTCCAGATCCACAATTTTATGATTTTTCAAACTTAAATATTCCAAGGCAACCTTTCCCAATACATTTACAATTAGATAATATGGGTTCAAAACTTTATGATTATTATCAACATCAATTAGCTCGCATAATTTCCATTGTACCACCAGAATCTAATTATTATCTCAAAGTTTTCTTACCAATGGCTGCACAAAATAAAGGTATATTGTATGCCATCCTTGCTTGGTCAGGATATCATCTTGGTGGTGATTATGAATCTGAAGGCCAAAAATATATGTCTAAAGCTTTAGATTATATTAAAGATACACCAGCAAGAACAGAGACTGAATTGGTTCAAAGACTTGCAAATTTATTGATCATGTGTGGTGCAGAGATTTGTAAAGGTGATGTTAGAAAATGGCCAGTTTATTTGGATTGGGCTTCAAAAGTTATTAAACAATGTGGTGGATTATCAAAATTGAAAAAAGATAAAGAACAACATTGGTTAATGACAAATTTTGCATATCATGATATTCTGGCAAGTTCTACAAGTGAAAGAGGTACTTATTTTAGTGTTGAGGATTATAATGATAATGTTGTTAAATTTGGATTTGGTATTAATCCATTACAGGGTCTTATTAAACCTTTATTCAATATGATTGGTGAGATTTCTACATTAGCTATTGAAGTAAAACGTTCATTAACTTGTGTTCCATTATCAAATGATGATCATGATTCAAATAAGATTGTTTATAATGTTAGTGACGAAATTTTAGATCAAATTCCATTAGATCAAGTTCCTGGTGTTGATTCACCAGATTTTGAACCAACTTCAAATGGTACAAAGATGAATAAATATACTGTTTTATCTAGAATAATGGAAAAGGCTAAAACTCTTGAAGATAAAATAACAAATGCCAAACCCGATTCAAATGATTTAGGTTCTTTTTCACCAGAAGAATTAGAATTACAATTTACATTATTTGAACTATTTCAATTAACTGCAAAACTTCATCTAAGACAATCAATCTTACAAGTTAATCCATCTTCATTAGAATCACAACATATGCTTTGTGGTATTTTACGTGGATTAGATATAGTTTTGAAATCTCCTGTTGAAAGTTCATTATGTTTCCCATTATTTATTGCAGGGATGCATTGTATAACTAGGAAAGATCGTAAAAAAATGTTGGAAAGATTTGCAGATATTGGACAACGTTATGCTTTTAAGAATTTAGAAAGGGCAAAAGCAGTTATGGAACAAGTCTGGATTGTTGATCCATTAGGAAGTAGATGTGTTGATTGGTATGATATTGTTAAAAAATTAGGATGGGATTTAAATTTCGCTTAATTGCTTGGACTACATGGTGATTATCATCAATAAATATTTATTTCCAATGTTATTTACAAAGACGAATTGAATTAAAGACAAATAAGAAATCAAATGAACAAATAAATAATTTATAATCTTGATCAAAAATGATCAAAACAAATAGTTTAATGCAGTAATGAGATATGAGAACAAATTAACTCTTTTGTAGTTTCTTTTAACTAACAACTTTGTTCTTAGACCATAATAATCTTCTTTCATGACATTTTTGCATAACGTAACTCATCCCCATCTTGGTATTTTTAATATTTTCTTGAAATTTTGTATGACTATAAGATTCAATTCTATCTTTAATAACATTTTTAAAACCTGAACTGAATTTAACGTTATATATAACATCTGTTTTATCTTCACTTGATGGTGATGATTCATATGTTGTATATTCTTCAACTCTAATGATTTTAGTATGATCTAAATTTCTTGTATATGATTGCATTTTTTGTTTCATTGGATCTAATATTGTTTTTTCCACAATCCATGAATGATTAATTCTTCCTAAAAATGGTTTAACCCATCTTGGTAATTTCCCAATCTTCTTAATTAATCTTGTTGTATATAATTTGCCATCTTTTAATTCACGATCTATAGTATCAACAGATAACACATGTGAAGCATAAGGATTTGGATACTTGTTGAACACTGCAACGGAGACTGTTTCGAAGTTGAACGGATATTGATGGGTTGATTTATACCAGAGCACCATAGTTTAATGATTAATTGATCTTATAATAGCCTATAATTCCCTCTTTTGATGGCGTTGGAAAGAAGTTGATTAATATTTTCCAACCTTTTTATAATCTTTTTGACTTAGTAATATGATGAGGAGATTTTTGACTATCCGAACTTCCTTATCTTTATGTCCCACTAAGAATCTTGAAAAAGTTGATTTTCTTTAGCTAATTGATATTACTATGGTGTGATTCGTCGTCTCTTAATATCTCTGTGTGTATCTCTGTAAAACCACCTGATAATCCCCTTTGCAAACCAGTTTCCCTTTGAATATTCGATGGTCGATTTCTTCTTTTCCCACAAAATTTTCAGCTGACTTTTTTTTTTCTCGGTGATTGAAAGCGGAAAATTGAAAGGTTTTAAAGGACCAGTAAAAAAAAGTGTTTAGTGAGCACAGATAATGGTTTGTTATGAAGATATCAAGGGTTAATGAGTAGTTTTGAGTTAGTATTAATGGGTTAAACAGATTCTGGGTACTCTGTTCACTTGGATTCCAACTTGTCACGAGATCTTAGCGAGTTTTAGTGGTGTTAAAACTGGTTTTATGGGGGTCCGGAAGACTCATATCTTAGATAAGCTACAATCAGATCATATATAAATCTCTATATTGTACTAAACGAATGCAATTAAACAATAAAACCAAAAAAAAAATCAAACTAAACACTATGCGATGGATGTGATGAAACTAATGAAATGAAGCAAAAAAGAATGAAAATGACAAATGTTAACGTGAAGGAAGAATAAACCCTAATATGGATCAGATCATATTATAAAATCAAAGCACATCCAGCAACAACAACTGGAACGGCAATTTTATAACTAATGAAACCATTTCCATCACCATAGATCAACGCATTACCAGAACTATTTGAGCTAACAGTATAAACTGATTGTGTAGTGTATGTTGATTTTGTGACACCTGATGATCCACTACTAATTGCAACATCTGTAGTAACAGTACTAAAACTTGTAGTTAATTTACCTGATTTACTAGATGCTGATGAAGAATCTGAATTTGAATTTGAATTTGAGTTACTATTGGATGCTGATGCTGATGATAAAGTAGTGGTTATGATGTTGGAAGCTGAGGTTATAGTGGAAACCACGGCTGTAGTACTTGGTGTCCACCATTGTGTAACAGATGGTGTCCACCAAACTGTTGTTGATTCACCAACACTGATAGGTGCTGTATTAGTATTAACATTTTCAGATGTACCTTGCGATTGCTGTGTTGATTGAGTAGCTTGAGTAGCTCCAGTTGTTTGGGTAGTTTGAGTAGCTTCACTAGCTTGTGTTGTTTGTGTAGCTTGAGTACCTGTTTGTGTAGCTTGAGACGTAGCTTGAGTACCTGATTGAGTAGCTTGAGTAGCTTGAGTACCTGTTTGAGTAGTTGCTGTGTTATCAGTAGTAGCTTGAGTAGCTGAAACAGCGTTTTGTGCAGTAGTTTCTTGGGTATTATCTGTTATATATTGGTTAATACTGTCATATCCTTCAGTAGCTGTATTAATTAACAAACCTTTTCCTCCATCATCATTGCTTCCACCATCCAAAGCACCTGTATCAGCGGCACTAATGAGTGGGATAATTGAAGCTAAGATGATATGTTTTAAAAGCATTTTTGTATAAGTATTTTCAAATTGCTTTGTTTAATGATCAAATGATCTCTTGGTCTAAACTTTATCTTTCATGGTCAACAGGACATAATCAAACTTATATACCCTTTACACGAAACTAAAAAATAAATTAGTGTGGATCGATAACCGTGTCACAATTCCAGGCTACGCGTATCATTCAACAGCTAGACACATAATATCTTCACTAAAATTCTAAAATTAATTAAAAAGCAGGCAGTTATATTACCGGATTAGGTAAATTGTAAACAAACTTCCCGAGATTTTTATGTCATGTCAAAATTGATACACCAGCCATCTAATTTTCAATTTTCAATAGTACTGCGGTTTTTTTCGAGAAATTGCCCAGGTCGAGGCAAACATTTACGAGAATTATCAAGATTGACTTATTGGATCGTTAATCCATAACATGATAAACGTATATCATCAGAACTAGTGCTAAACCCCTTAAGGACTTCAGAAATTTCGTGATACAATCAGCTTGAGTGATGAGCTGTAGCATATATCAAATATGATTTATATATAGGCTGGGAAAATACCAGGCTTTGAACTTTCAGAACCTCAGCCATGAATTGAAGATTGGTCCTGACATAGCGTTATAGGCTGACAAAATATTAGGCTTTGAAGTTTCAGAACCTCAGCCATGAATTGAAGTAGATTGGTCCTGTTATAGCGGTATAGCCCTACAATATTTCAGTTCTACACATATGGTCGTACAAAATACCTTATAATGTTTCATTTATATAACTTTGGGCTCATTTAGTTAAACCCAAAGCCTCTCTTTGAGATTTAGATTCTGGATCAAAGTAGGGAACTTCAGCTAAAGAAGTAACTCTTGTACCGTGTCTTGGTTCTTCACCACCATAATCCCAGACAGCAGCATGTTGACTAACTCTATTATCCCATAAGGCAGATGTACCTAAGTTTGGATCAGTTGGTTTCCAATTGAATCTAACTTGAATATCAAGATTTTTTTCATAAACATCATAAAGATAATTCAAAATCAACTTGGATTCATCCGGTTCTAAACCTTTAATGCTTACAGTCCAATCACGATTCACGTATAAAGATTTCCAACCAGTAACTGGATGTGTTCTAACGATTGGTTGTTCTCTCAAAATTTGAGCACCACCATTCAAAGGATTCTCTCTATCTAAATAAGTGTGCATAGATCTTTGTACAGCAACTTTACCTTCAAGAAATTTTTGAAATGCTGGACTTAGTTTATCATAAGCAGCATAACCTGAAGCCCATAAAGTATCACCACCAATTTCAGGAATAGCATCATTATGCAAATGTGTAATACCTGGTGGTTGTCTTTCATGAGGTAAATCTGAATGCCATGTACCAGTACCTGCTTTAGCATTCTTCCAAGAGACATTAAGACCATTGCGTCTGGCTAACTCGTTCCAAATAACAGTAGTACCTGGTAAGTCTGGAACATGAGGAACTTGAGGATGAACTTCAACATTGCCAAAAAATTCCCCAATTTTTAATTGTTTTTGTGGTGATAAATCTTGATCTCTAAAGAAAACAACAACTCTTTCAGCGATTAAAAGTGCTAATTCATCTAATTCTTGTTCATTCAAGTCTGATAATTGAACACCAATTAATTCAGTACCGATATGTTTGGTGAGATGTTTGACTTGTTTAACTTTTTTAAATAAAGCTTTTTTTTCTGGATCTGCATTTTTACCTCTTGGAATATAATCTTGAACTTTATCTCTAACTTTATGAGCATCATCAACATATAATGGGATTCGATCAGATGGTGGTTTTTCTGGATATCCTTGACTTAAGTTGATACCATGTCTTTCATAACGTGCTCTAGTTGTTGGTGGTAAAGCTTCAACATAACTTCCTTCAAAACCACCAGCTACTCGTTTGGAGACGTCAACTTCAAGCTTGAGAGTGGCTGTCTTTTCGGTAAGTTTGTTGACCAATTCTTCAGCTTTTGTTTCAGTGGTTGACATTTTGTTGATATTATTAGTTTTTGATTTAATACCTAACTTTCAGTTGGGCCATTATTGAAAAATCAGATCAAGGGATGATAAGCCATTTAAATAGTACTCCAAGAGTCTTACTGTGGATCCATATTAACATATTCTAGCAATTGTATCTAATCATTAGTCATGGAATTTTAATTTAACCGTGCACCACAGTTTTCTTATAAAAGACGCTTCAATATACTTTAAAAAGTGCGGCTTCCTTGATGATAACTTTTTCGCGAAACTTAACGTCTGTCATGGTTTTCGGGTGAATAAATAATCTAATACAAATCTTGGTCGCGTTTAAAGAAATAATGGTGAATAAAGATTTCTAAGATAACAGATTATATTTCGCTAGGATATGATTAAAATTGAGGAGCAAAGAGAGATTAAGCGTCAGAGAAAGAACCCAATAACATTTCTTTCCTTTCCAGATGAAATTTTGATCAACATAACATCACAATTATCTCAAAAGGACACATTATCATTATTGTATTCCAATAAGCGTTTTGAAAGAGCATGCAAAGTAAGGCTTTATAAAAACATAGTTTTAATCAAACACTTCGGTGCATACCACTTCAAGAAGTTAGCAAATTATAATTGTTACTCCTTCATAGTCGGAGGGAATAAAATTTTAGCACTATTAAATGCTTTAATAGAAGATAAAACATCACCATCGGGAACTTCACCAAGACTTTTTGTTGAACAAATTATTACCTATGAGAAATTGTTTAACTTTTACAGTCAACCAGGATCTTTTGAACAAAAAGTCGAAGAATTATGGATACCATTAACCAATTGTCTCAAAAATTTAAAGGTTTTTATTTCGCCAAGGACTCCTCATAGTTACATCTTTTTGATGAACAAAGATATAGCTCAGAACTTATCTGCGCTCTCTATAAGTTCTAAATGGTTCAGTAAAGGAAATTATCAATTTAATCTCAAAGCATTCAAGCTTCAAAATTTGAAAAAGCTGAAACTTAATGATGGTGTTACAGAGCCAAATTTTATTAGCATGTTCCTGGAATTATTGATAATTGATGGTCAACATTCCAATACGTCATTGGAGGAAATCGAAATTAACCCAGCATTTGGGTTTCAAGATCTCTCACTAGATGAAAAATTATCAGATCGTTACTACACAGAGGATACCAACTTACTTTCGTCATTTTTACTTGGGAACAAAGATAGACATAGACTTGCTGATGTTGCTTATAGAGGATCTCCCAACTTTGAGGATGATACGAGCTCAATACTGAACTTGTGGCGCTCCAGGGAAATTATTGATGATGTTCAAAGTGCTAAAGATATTGCTGAGCGTCAATTTATTATGTCACATAGAGCTGTTAAGGGGCCCAAATCCATAAATACAAGGACTTGGAATGAAAATGCTCAAGTTGTACCTCAGATGTTGAAAAATATTAGCTTTCAATTTCTACATGACCGGGATCTTTCAATTCTTAGTCGACCAGAGGGAAATGATTCAGAAATGTTTTCTTTGTTCTTGAAAAGTGCAGAAAAGCTTGGTTTGTCATTTCCTAATATTAAAAAACTCGTCATTTCAAACATGGTATTCAAGGCTGATCATTTTCTCAATTACAATACTGAATTCTGGAGGCTTTTCAATACCGTTTTTCCTAATTTTCATGAGAAGGTGGAAATTTTGCAATTTAGAAATATTGTTCACAAACCTTTGACAGGTCAACCAAGTTTATACGGTGATATTACAGACCAAAGACTACAACAAGGATGGGAAGTAATTGAGAGAGCAAATTCTTTTCTTACTTGTTTCATTCAAGAGCAAAAGAGTTTTCCAAGGCTCAAGAAAATGACGTTCTTCAGCGCTCCATATGAATTCCATATAGAAAGAGCTGTGAGTGAAAGGGAAACAAGGATTGCTCATGATGTATCACCAATGAATCCATTTGTCAAGTATTCTGAGCTATTAATTGATTTTACACTATTAGCACCAGCACTTGAAGAACTTGATTTTGTTGCCCCAAAATCTGTTGAATTCAAACATTTTGTTAAGATTATAACTTTATCTCCTAGACGGGGCTTTTTCAAAAAACTCAGTTTTATTTCCTACGATGATATCATTTCTATCATTACAAAAATACTCAACCTAAAGATCTTCAAAAGGTTCAATATGTTTGATGATTTTAAGAAGATTGACAATTATCACTATTTGTGTTCTAGAATTGTGAAAGAACATTTCATCAGTGCTACAAAAACTGAAGATTATGAAGGCCAAGACTGTCTTAAAAACGACAAAGATGCTTTATTTTTCAAAGATGAATTTCATTGTCTTTTCAGAGAAGATGCTCAAACATTGTTTAAAATATGTCCAAGGTTAACAGAAGCTACGTTCTATGGCTTTACTTTCTATAAGGAAGAAATGAATTATTATGTGTGATCTTACCTTTTAAATATAGAACCTATATTTTGGTTGTTCTTACTGGTGTATGGTTTCTGACACAAAAATAAGTTTTAAATGGGTAGGGTCAAAATTCATGATATACATAATTTTGAATTCGATATTTAATTCTCAGATAAAATTGTAGTGTGCTACTTCAATTTTGATCAAGATGATAGCTTGAAAACTAGATTCTGTCAATATGTAGAATTTCCATTAAATAAGTACTGTTTAACTAGTTCGCGGTCGCTCGCGTCTTATTTTTTTTTTTCTTTGAATACCTCCGATTATACGTCAAATGTGTTATAGCTGAAGTATCGTTTAAATTCATTTTAAAATCATTACACGTGAACTACAACCAAGGAATTCTGCTCAATTGAACTCTAGCTGCCATTCACCACTAGTATGTCGGCTTCAGCTGCACTTAGTGAATTTACAAACAGGAGATCACAAGAATCAGAACCAATGCCAAAACGAATGAAAACATCGAATAAGATCACAATACTAGATCTTCCAGATAAAGCTTTAGAGCTAATTGCGTCAAATCTTTCCCAAATTGATACTTTAGAACTACAGCAGTCTAATAAAAGGTTCAGGACTGCGTGCAGGAAACGCTTATACCACAAGATCGTGTTTTGTGAGGATTCGGGTGACCATTTTCTATTTAAGCTGGCAGATGCAGCAAAATACACCATTGTATCAGGGAAAAGAGTTGCCTTTTTTTTTCTACAACATCGAAAACTTTCAACAACTGAACAATCTGAAACACTAGATTATATCCAAGAACTCGTTTACTATGATCATGAAGATTTAAAGGATGATGTGATTAAAAAAATCATGAATGAATTTTGGCATGATGTGATGAATCAATTACATAACTTGAAATCATTCATAGCTCCAAGGCTCCCGCTACAAAAATTAAGATTATTGGATACATCAAGGATCACAAAATTGTCCATAGGTATTCACAAAGTGAGTGATGAGTCCAAAAATCTTTTCCAGTTGCATTTACCTGAGCTCAAATCACTTGCCATCAATTTTTTTTATCACGAAAAAAGAGATATATTCTTCGATCAGGCTGCTTTATCGACTCTCATCAAAGCTTTAATTAATGGTGACTCTAAAGTAAATACAAAACTAGAGGTTTTAAAGATAAACGCGTTAGTTGGTTGGCAAGACGAACACACAATATCGGAACTAAAGAGGCAGGAAAACATCCTTGAAGTCACAAGTTTATTTTCATCTTATTTTTGGGGTTCAGCTACTAATGTGAAATTATCTTATAGAGGTACAGACTTCAAAGCATGCTACAAAGAGTATGTTTCTGAATTGATTGATTCTCCTGATTCTGGTGCAAATTTACCACTAGAAAGGATTATCCAAGAAGAAAATAACGAAATATTCCAACATCCTATGGTTGCAACAAGTGAATCTGCAAACACAAACAGGGATGATATCTCTAAAGATGATTATCCGGAGCTTGAGGATGAGCCATATATGTTTGATGATCAAGTTTTAGACTATGTAATTGAAATGGATCGAGTTGCAAATGTGACACTGAAAACAGCAGGAAAAAAACCAAATTATTCATATTCTAGAAGTATTCACGAAGTCTCTTTTATGGAAATTTTATCGGATGTATTGAACACTTTATTTGAGGAGAAAATTATTTTGCCGAACGTTAAAACACTAAATTTTTCAAATATGAATTTAAACGCAGAGACATTCTATAGATATGAAACACCAGCAGTTGATGCTTTTAATTTTGTCTTCCCAAATTTCTACGAAACGATAGAGAGGTTATCGTTGAATGATCTGTTTGAAAATCCATATAGAAAATTTGATAACACTAATCGTGCTTACTTTATTCCTTATGATTCAGAACCCAAATTTGACATGAAATTAGAAGTATTTGAGAAAACACATATGTTCTTATCTGGCTTGATTGACACTCAAAAACCTTTCAATAGATTGAAAAGCCTTAAATTCTTTTGTTTTCCAAGAAAATCTCAAATACATGATATGGATTGGAATGATGAGGTTATTGATTATTCCGGGGAAGAGCTTGATAATATGTTGTCATATGAAGATATGTTGATTCAATTCACACCTCAGGCCCCATATTTAGAAGAACTAAATATTGTCACATCAGTTGAATTTGGACTTAAAGAATTCTATAAGGTTATTTTGAAATTACCTGCAAAGAATAAACTAGAGAGAATATCCTTCATTTCACCTGATATGATCACCACATACTTGGCCAAAATTTCAAATGTGAAAGTTTTCAAAAAATTTAAAGAATATTCCAATCTTTACAATATCACAAATTATCAAGGTCTGATCAATAAAATACTTATTGAACACTTTATAGAGGCATTTAAGGTTGATGATTATGAGGACTCACAAGTTTTAAGTTTCAAGAACGATCAAGATGCTCTGTTCTTTGCCAGTGAGTATATTTATTTATTCGGAAATGAAGTGAAGGAATTCTTCAAGATTTGTTCAAAATTGGAGAAGTTCAAGTTTTTTGGCTTTACATTTGATAGAAGCTCGCTCAAACTTTAGGAACCTCTGAAGCCTTCAACTTGAGCCTGAAGAGTTTCTGCTTATAATTGTACGTATAATACAAGTGGTACTGGTAGCGAATTAACGTGTAGAAAGTCAATAAGCTTTCGAGGGCCAATCGGCGAAATTTCGATCGAATAATTACTACTGCTATCTATTACACAAGGTTTCAAAGAGTTCTTGATCTCCTTTTATTCCTTCATGGTTGAATTAAGTCTGTCAGTTCATAAAGATGAAAGTTTTTAGTTTAGTTTATAAAAATCGACATGGTGTCTGTCTTGAAAAAAGGGTCAGTAAGATCAATCATTAGATCTATACGCGATTGAAAAAATTCAGCTTCGAAATTAGATGAAAAATGACGGTATACTAATTGACAATAAGATCATGACAGGAGACAAGATTAATGCTGCTGCCAAACGTCACAAAAGGAATCCAATATCGATTTTGTCGCTTCCCACCGAAGTTCTGATAAAGGTCACCTCACAGCTATCTCAAAAAGACACATTATCATTATTATACTCAAATAAGCATTTCGAAGAAGCATGCAATGTCAGACTATACAAAAAACTCATGTTCTGCGGGCATCCGTGGCTTTCATACACGGATACACTTGGTGATGTAGATGGATCTACTCGTGTTAAGCCTATCAGAAAAATTAGATGCATGTTCGAAACTTTTGGTGATGACTACTCAAAAACCTTAAAAAAATCACATGCTTTGTTGATTAAAGACATTGTCATATATGATAATCCATGGCTCTTTGACTCTTCAGATTCTTTCCATGATACGTTTGACCCCACTTGGGTCCCATTTATTAAATCATGCAGGAACTTGAGATCATTCATCTGTCCTTGGTTCACAATTGATAACCTTTTGGTTGGAGGTAAAGATCTGGTTGAGAACTTATCCAGATTGTCCATCAACTACCAACACACGTCAGAATCCGAATCCAATAATAGATTTCCAGATGGAATAAAGCTCAAGAATTTGAAAATAATGAAGTTAAATTTACCAAGGCCTTGGGATTATTCAAACGAAGAAAGCATTCTTCAACTCCTATTAATTGATGATAATAAAACAAATATAGTGTTAGAAGAGCTTGAATTAAATCAACAATATGGTTATCAGGATGAAGCCAATGAACGAGATCTCTCTGCTTATGAATACACCATGGAACCAAATTTAGTCTCATCATTCTTACTTGGTCATTTTGATCCTCCGCCTTCAGAAAGCACATTTTCTGTACACAATCGTGCTTATGAAGATGATCCTGATTCTAGATTTTTTTCAGACTCTGATGAAACAAATAGTGACTCTGAAGATTCAGTGTCTGACACTAGGGAATTTCCAGATGAATATATCACTTCTACAGGAGAGATGTACTATACCTCCATACATCCTGTTGTACATCATACCAATAATGAGGTCAGAAATGAAGAACATTTCAATGATGAAGATGAATCATTTTTCATTGGTTTGAATGACGTTGAATTTGGACAACGACCACCACACAGCGTTCATAATCCATTTCTCAATGTTACGTTTGATTTGTCTCGACCAGAGAGTGCTTTTTTCAATTTTATGAAGGCTGCCATAAAACTTGAGCTATCTTTTCCCAATATAAAGAAGCTAACACTCACTAATATGATCTTTAAGGCAAAAGATTTTCTGAATTGCAGAACTGAATTCTGAAATATGTTCAATTCTGTTTTTCCAAATTTCCATGAAAAGGTTGAGGTTTTGGAATTCAGAAACGTGTATCACAAACCATTAACTGTTGATGTTGAGCTTTTCATGGAAAATCCTGATCCAAGATTAAGAAATGGCTGGGGTGTCATAGAAAGAACCAACTCATTTCTCACCTGTTTCATTGAATCACAAAAGGTTTTCCCAAAACTGAAAAAAATGATGTTTTTCAGCTCCCCAGATGCAAAACAGATACTTGGTGCTATTAAGAACAACTTTCTGATTCAAGATAGGGAAGTGATGAATCCGTTTTCCAAATACTGTGAGTTATTAATTGACTTCACTCTATTAACGCCTAATCTTGAAGAATTAATTTTCGTTGCACCAAGTGAAGTTGGTTTCAAAACCTTTATGAGAATCGTTCATCAATCTCCAAGACGTCAATTTTTTAAGAAATTAAGTTTCTTTTCATACGATGGTATATATTCATGTTGTACAAAAATATTGAATGCCAAAGTTTTTAAAAGGTTTGACAATTTTGATGATCTAAGAGAAATTGATAACTACCAATATTTGTGTTCACAAATTATTAAAGAGCACTTTATCTCTTGCTCAAAAATACAAGATTATGAAGGTCATGAAAAGTTGAAAAATTCGAAGAATACTATGTTTTTCAAGAAAGAGTTTGAATATGTTTTCGGTGGTGATGCTTTATTGATGTTTAAAAAATGCCCAAAGCTGAAGGAAATTACCATATATGGATTCACATTTTATCGGGGGACAACAGTGACAACTCCAATGTACGTTTGATTATAATATATTAAACAATATACATGAATGGCCACCCATACGTTTGGCAGCTTTTCCCAGAGTAGTTTTTATTGGATTTATACGAAGAGAGCTCAGGTACCGTACACGACGCAATAATGCAACCGTATTGATTTTCCCTACACTGACTGTTAAATATAGTCAGCTTTGTGATCCTTAATTTTGTGAAATTTCAATAATGGGCATACATTATAATACGTTTACTAATTTGTTGTCCTAGTCGCGATCTAATGGTATAATATTTTCGGCTGAAAATTTGGCCATATATTAATTAGTACGTACGACGTTTTTTCAACCGACTCATATCACTTCAAAGCTTAAACCCACAGAAGCTCACTTTATATCAGTGGTATCTCTTAACAGCATGACAAGAAACAATGGAACGGTTGATGAACGCTTGAGGCTTGATGGCCATTCACCAAGTGTCAAACGCTTGAAACAAAATGAAAAACGCTTGAATCAAAATCAATTTCTTAATCTTCCAGATATAGCATTGGAAAGGATCGCTTCAATGCTAAGTCCAAGGAGTACGCTAAAACTCATGCGTGTAAACAAAAGGTTCATCAAAGCATGCAAAAAACGCTTATACCGAAAACTTATTATTATTCAGGATAAAGATGATCGCTATTTATACAAACTTGCAAAAGCTGCGAAAGGTACAATTATAACCGGAAAAAGAATAAAAGGATTCTTCACTTTACACAAAAGTTTAGATGCTGCTGAAAGATTAGAAGATTTATCATATGTCAATGAATTTATCTATTACAGAGAGGAAAAATCCAAAGATCAACTGCTGGATGACATTGTGAACGAATGTTGGGATGATGTTGTTAACAATATGCAAAATCTGAAATCGTTCATAGCACCTAAGTTAAATATCAAAGCACTGGACTCATCATGGGATAAATCACACATAACAAATCTCACTATAGAGATACTGAACTCTGATAACAAGGATATTGGGATGTTTGATTTAATGTTGCCAAACTTAAAGTCATTATGCTTAAGTTTCTCTGAAGAACTAATGGATGATGGTACAATTCCAAACACTTTATTGGTCATAATTAGGGCTTTAAGATCAAAGGAATTCCAAGAAAACAAAACATTGGAGACCTTGGAGATTAACGCAGATTTTGGTTTACAAGATTTGAATACTGAACGTCATCTACGGGACTCAGTCAAGTGCTCGACCAATTATCCAGGTTTATTCTCTTCATATGTCATGGGGTCCAAGAGTACCAATAACCATTCAAGACCAACATATCCTACTCCTAGTTTTAGCTCATGTGTTGAAGAGCGCAATTATCATGAAAATCTGAGACGTGATCTTAATTCTAGAGACCCAGAGTTAGAAGTTCTGATTTTTGGAAAGGAATTATCTGCTAGAGAATCAAATTTCGAAGAACCTCAAATCCATGAACTTGATAAAAACCACCCTCTAGAGCGTATTGTCTTAGAAGAAAATGATAGATTATATCAGAGACCGCCATTCAGGTCTGGTGAATCGGACCATGATTATAGCAGCTATGAAGAGAAACTCGCTGAGAAAGACATGGCCTTAAAGCTTAGGTCGATCGACAGCTTCAGACCTGGATATCTAAAGAATGGATCTATACTTAGTTTTGGACCGGTATTTGAAATCATATCAGAACTTATCAATATTCTACATAGAGAGAAGATAATTTTGAGTAATGTCAAAACTCTCAAATTCTCCAATATGTTAATGAGTGCTCAAACTTTTTACCGAGCTGATCGAGTCCCATATAATGTTGCTTTTGATTCAGTGTTTCCAAACTTTTACCAGATCATTGAAACTTTATCCCTAAATAACTTGTTTGAACCCAATTTTATTAAGTTTGATAAAGCTAATAAGTCATATGAGTTTTGGGGTGGAGAAGATGCAGTAGAGCTTCATCCTGAAGCCTATGAAAGAACTGAATCATTTTTGGCAGGTTTTATTGACTCCACAAGACAATTTGATAACTTAAAAAAGCTCAAATTTTTTTGTATACCAAGAAAATCTCAGATTTATTCTCCAAATGCTGAAGTCATATTTTTTACACCTGAGGAAGAAAAGAAGATGTTCTCTTATGCTGACCTTTTTGGTGAATTTCTCAATCAATGTCCTCAATTGGAAGAACTTGAAGCTGTGGCATCAGTAGAAGTGAAACTTACAGATTTTTATAACATAATTTCCAAAGCACCATCAAAGAATAAATTAAAGAGATTGTCATTTATTTCACCAGATATGATTCCTTCATATATTACAAAGTTCTCAAATCTCAAGGTCTTTAAGAAATTCAAACATTTCAGCGATGTGAACAATGTCACAAATTATCAGAATACAATTAATAAAATTGCAGCTGAACATTTCATTGAAGCTTTCAAAACTGAGAATTATGAATACTCAGCTTTATCAGATTATAACAATAAGGATGTTGAGATAAGATTTTTTACAAATCAATATAATTATCTGTTTGCAGAACAAGTTGAAGAATTTTTCAAACTCTGTCCACATTTGGAAAAATTCAAATATTTCGGTTTCACATTCAATAGATGGTCATTTAAGTGAAGCCATTTTTTATGAATATGATATTAGCTTTTGAGAATTGAAATCAATCTTGGTTTATATGACAATTTATAGTAATATCATGATGATATATACTTAGCTAGATTGATATATATTCATGACTATATCGAGGTTGACGAAAAGAGGTTTGACTAATTATCTATAATTGATTATCTTGATTTTTATTTCAACATATTAATATTGACGACGTTCGAATTAAAAATGTGATGCTTAATTATACAATGACTGTTTATTTCACGTAGGTTATATAAGACTATATAGATCAACTGACAGACACATAAATTCAAAAGTACCTTAGCACCTTTAGCCCTAACTCAATCGCGTATAAAGTATATATAGAGTTATAGATATCAATTCTGTCACTTCCCAACATATATTATGTTATCAGCGCCTAATTATAACTTTAAGGGATCAAAATATATCAAAATTCGAATATAAAGCTTATTAGTCGATGCATATTTCTCATAATCAATGACGCTATATTTATTGAAATTTACTAGATTTAACTTCCTATTAAAGTACAAGATCGATCGGGTCGGGATCTCAAAACGTTTCCCGGATTTCCGATCCCAGATTATCTGCATTTAAAGTAAAGTTTCAGCGGTGCGTGAAAAAAAAAAAATTGTGTCTATCGCTTTACAATTGCATTTTAATACTTTATTAAGAGTCATCTTAAACTTTGCTAGTTTATATTTCTCTCCTTCTCATATGAAGAAGTAGAATCAATCACAAACTTAGGATAGTGCTCAAAAATGTCTCAATTACCAATTGTGGGAACATATGGAAATGAAGAACCAGCTGATCTATTTCAAAGAGATAATGAAGAATTACATTCAGTTAATAGTGATCACGAGATCATAGAGACAAGTTATAAAAATGAATTGAAGATTATGGGAAAGTCAACATTGCCATTAGTATTCACTACAATGTTACAATATTCAATGACCACTGTGTCAGTGCTAGTAGTGGGACATATTGGTGAAAAGGAATTAGCAGCTGTATCTTTAGCAAATGTCACATTCGTTTTGGCTTCTTCAACATTTATCGGTATGTCAACTTGTTTAGATACTCTATGTCCACAAGCTTTTGGTGCTGGGAAATATCATCTAGTTGGGTCTTACTTGCAAAGATGTGTTGCAATCTGCTTCTTAATAGCTCTACCATTAATGGTATTATTCTATCATAGTAATGCAATTCTGAAATATATTGTTCCTGAGCCAGTGATTGGAGAAATGGCACAATCCTATCTAAGAACTATATCAGTCGGTCTTCCAGGTTACATCCTTTTTGAAAATAGTAAAAGATTTTTACAAGCTCAAGGAAATTTTCATGGTGGTCAATACGTGCTGTTTATTTGTGCTCCATTAAATATTTTATTCAATTATCTGTTCGTTTTCAGCTTTGATTTTGGTCTTCAAGGTTCTGCTGCTGCTGTTGCGTTGAATTATTGGCTTATGACAATACTTCTGTTTTCATATGTTGCATTCATTGATGGTAAAAAATGTTGGAATGGGTTTGTAATTAGTGAAATTACAAAAGGATGGGGAGAAATGCTGAAATTGGCACTACCAAGTATTATTATGATCCAAGCAGAATTTTTAGCGTTTGAAATTATCACACTGTCATGCTCATTCTTTGGAACAACATCATTAGCTGCCCAGTCTGTTGTTGCAACTGCTGCATCATTGGCATTCCAAATCCCATTTTCAGCTAGTATAGCAGCAACAACCAGAATTGGTAATCTTATAGGTTCAAACTCCATTTATGCCGCTAAAATTGCCGTTGATGTTACATTGTACTCATCTTTCATAACGGGTCTCTTCAATTTCATAATTATATTTTTCTTTAAACAAAAAATTTCCAACATATTTACGTCTGATTCAGCAGTTGCAGCTAGAGCAGCATCAGTTTTCACAGTTGTTGCATTCAATCAATTTCCGGATTGTTTAAATATTCATTCTGCAGGATGCTTACGTGCTCAAGGTCGCCAAAAGATTGGTGGATATCTAAACTTGTTCTCATACTATGTGGTCTCAATACCTCTTGCAATGCTTTTTGGCTTCATCTTTAAATGGGAAGTGGAAGGTCTATGGGGAGGTTTAATGTGTGGTGTTATCACTTTAGCTGGACTCTCATATTACTACGTCCGTGGATCTGACTGGGATCAAATAGTATTAAAGTCTAGAGAAAGGCATACTGTCATTGTATAAAAAAGTTATATAAAAATTGCATTGTTGAATAAAATTGAACTAAAGATCTCGCTTATAGGCGGCCCAATGCTTAAAACAGTAAGTCGCGCCCGAAAATGAATTATAATGATAAACGATAATGGATATAGCACCTGCAACTTGCAACCGTCCAACTTTTTTAAACTTAACGAACATTTCAGTCATCTTGTTGAAGTTCAGCTTTTCTTGGAAGACTGATATATCTTAATCAACTATAAGAACATTGGTAGACATAATGGCACAATTACCAGTGGTGGGTACATATGGAACCGAGGAACCAGACACACCAGATATTTTTCAGACTGGAAATGATGAATTAAATCCACTTATAGATAGAACTCATAAGATTGTTGAAACAACATATAAGAATGAATTTCAGATATTAGGGAAATCTACATTACCTTTAGTTTTAACAACGATGTTACAATATTCTATGAATACAATATCTGTGTTAGTGGTGGGGCATATTGGTGAAAAGGAATTAGCTGCTGTTTCTTTGGCAAATGTTACATTTGTTTTAGCCTCTTCAACTTTCATTGGTATGTCAACATGCTTAGATACTTTATGTCCACAGGCTTTTGGTGCTCGTAAATATCATTTAGTTGGTGTTTACCTACAAAGATGTATTGCAATATGTTTTTTGATTGCTATACCACTTCTGATCATATTTTATAATATTAACATGATTTTGAAACATCTTGTACCTGAACATGTCATTGGGGAACTAGCACAGTCATACCTAAGAACCATATCAGTGGGTTTACCAGGTTATATTCTGTTTGAAAACAGTAAGAGATTCTTACAAGCCCAAGGAAATTTCCATGGCGGTCAATATGTGTTATTCGTATGTGCTCCATTGAATATTATGTTCAACTTCTTATTTGTGTTCAAGTTCGGTTTTGGTTTGAAGGGTTCAGCATTTGCAGTTGCTTTAAACTACTGGCTTATGGCGATTATGTTATTTTTGTATGTTGCATTTATTGATGGTAAAAAATGTTGGAATGGGTTTCAATTTGGTGAGATTACCAAAGGGTGGAGTGAAATGTTAAAATTGGCACTACCAGGTATTATTATGATTCAAGCAGAATTTTTTGCATTTCAAGTCATAACTTTATCGTGTTCATTTTTTGGTACTACATCTTTAGCTGCACAATCAATCGTTTCAAGTGCAGCATCTCTTGCATTTCAGATTCCATTTTCAACTACCATTGCAGCTTCTACAAGAATTGGTAATCTTATTGGTTCAAATTCTGGATCAGATGCAAAATTTGCTGTTGATGTTACTCTGCTTTCATCTCTAATCACAGGCTCTTTCAATTTTTTAGTTCTTTTTTTCTTAAGACATCAGATTGCAAATATATTCACTTCTGATCCAGTTGTTGCAGCAAAAGCAGCTTCGGTGTTCATAGTGGTTGCATTCAATCAGTTCCCAGATTGTTTAAATGTTCATGCTGCAGGATGTCTACGTGCTCAAGGTCGTCAAAAGATTGGTGGATACCTAAACTTATTTTCATATTATATAGTATCATTACCTCTTGCGATGCTATTTGCTTTCAAATTTGAATTAGAAGTCAAAGGTCTATGGGAAGGTTTGATGTGCGGTGTGATTGCGTTATCTGGTCTTTCATATCACTTCATCCGTCAATCTGACTGGGAACAAATTCTCATCAAGTCCAGAGAAAGACATGGTATAACGGTATAAAATTGTATATAAAATAGAAGAAATTGAATCGAGATAAGCTTAATTCGCTTATACGCCAAATCCCAAAACGGTAGTTCGTGCGTCCAAAAAGGGAACTGTAATGAGCTGTGGCTCAAACCGATGATAGTTTGGTTTTTTGGTTTTATACCTTTTAAAAGCAGCATGTCAAAAGGCTTCAAAGCTCTCACTCAAGTGAAGTTTAGGCTTTGGAAGGTACTACTTGTTTTAGCGGGAATTGACTCAGAAAGTCTTATTTAGTGGCACTGGGATTCACAATGAGCGATTCTGAAAGCCACCAGGAGCACAATGGTGTGTCTCATGAACAAGAAGAAAACCACAGCGTAAACAACAATCAAAATAACAAGAAGAAGGTTAATAAAGCGGTTAAAAGCACAGTAGAAGCTCCATCAATTTTCGTTTCTGCCATCAGATCTATCTTTGGGTTCAGAAAGACTTCATTGACACTGTTTGTGGTATTAGCTTACGGATTAGTTTTCATAGCGGTATATTTAGCAAAATTGAATGCCTTATCATTACCATCCAAAGAACCAGAAATTTTATCATCATCTTGGTCTGATTTACAAGAAATATCAAAACATCCTCATCCTTATGTATCACATGCTAATGATGAGTTACATGATTACTTGGTTGAAAGAGTTAAAAAATTGAGTGGATTGAAGAAATACATTGAATATAGTGATGATTATAAAACCTCGTTATCTTCATTTTATATTCAAAGGAATACTTGGGATCCTTCAGATAATTCAGGTACTTTAAATTATTTTGAAAGTTCAAATGTCCTTGCTAAAGTTGAAGGTAAAGATCCATCATTGCCAGCTATTCTTCTAAGTGCACATTATGATTCTGTTCCAACTGCGTATGGTTCAACTGATGATGGTGCTGGTGTTGCATCATTATTAGGTATCTTGGAATATTATGCAACTTCCAAACAACAACCATTACGTACAATCATTTTCAATATTAATAACAATGAAGAATTTGGTCTTTATGGTGCACAAGCCTTCTTTGATCATCCATGGAGCCAAAATGCCAGTTATTTTGTTAATTTAGAAGGTACTGGTACTGGTGAACGTGCAATCTTATTTAGATCAACAGATTATGAAATTGCATCACATTATAAAACTGCAAGATCACCATTTGGTACTTCAATTTTCCAACAAGGTTTTGCAAGTCGTTTAGTTCATAGTGAAACTGATTATAAAGTTTATCATGAACATGGATTAAGAGGTATTGATATTGCATTTTATAAACCAAGATCATTATATCATACTAAATATGATTCTATTCAACAAACCTCTAAGAACGCATTGTGGCATATGCTTTCGAATGCATTAGATGTTACCAAATCATTAGCAGATTCTAAAACAATTAGTGATGATGAAGAAACTCAAGCTGTATTTTTTGATATTTTGGGCCTATATTTTGTTGTTCTACCATTAACAAGCTTATACATTATCAATATTGTATTATTAACTGTTATACCAATTACTTTACTAGGATTTGCTGTTATTATTCAAAAAAGAGAAATTTGGGACGTTGGATTCAGTTGGGTAAGAATTCCAATTTCATTTGCACTTTCAGGTATTGGTGCTAAGATTGTATCTGATTTGATTCGTTTTGTTAATCCATTGGTTATTTCAAGAGACTATACTGCACCTTTGTTAACGGTATCAGCTACTTTCTTATTTATCAATTATGTGGTCTTAACTGTTTCTCAACATATCTGGCCTGTTCATGATTTCAAATTGCTGATCACTATGGAAGTTTTTGTTATTTTATGGGCAAGTTTAGTTGGTGCTACAGTTTCAGAAAAACCACCAAGTATTTATACTGGATTTTATTTGATTACAATTTTGTATTCATTATACTCTGTTTCAGTTTTCTTAGGTTTATTAGGTATTGCATTAGCATCACCAAATAGGGAAAAAATTAAAGTCGCTACATATGGTAGTGTTTCAGATGAAGCTGATGAAGCAAATAATGAACAAACAAATGATGAAAATGCCCCATTGTTATCTAACTCAATTCCGAATTCGGATTCAGAAGATGTTGAAGAACATGAAGGTGAAATTATTAAAGGACATCCAGCTCATAATTCATTTACTTATGATTGGAGTTTACAATTCTTAATCTTGGTTCCAATTACATTTTTGATTACTTATGTTTCTGGTGATTTGATTTTACAAGGTTTGAATCAAACTTCACAAGAAAGTTTAAAATCTACTAATTTTGTCTATCAATTAATTTTGTTGTTTGGTACTTTATTAGTTACACCATTATTAGGGTTTTCTTATAAATTAAACGCTTGGTTTGCTATCTTATTAATCATTGCTATTGTTGGTGGTGGTGCAAAATCATTATTTGAAGATCCATTTACAGCAGATTCACCATTAAAATTAAGATTTGTCCAAGATATTAATTTGAACAATGCATCAAAACCAATTGTTACTGTTTCTGGTAGAGAAGGTGAACTTGAACCAATTTTAAGAGATTTACCATCTGTAAAGCAATACAATTCTAAGATTTCATGTCAATCACAAGGTGATGGATTACAAGCATGCTCTTATGAAGCTGAAAGGCCATATTTATTTGATGGATCTTCAAAATCAAATGATTTGGATTCATATTTGAAAATTGATATTTTGAAAAATGGTGCTGAGAAAAATCATTCACCATTTTCACCATTAACTGCAGAAATTTCTATTAAAGCTAAAGAAAATAGATATTGTTCTTTAAGTTTCAATAGTACAACTTTTAAATCTTATGAATATGGACAATCACCAATCAAAATTGTTAGATATTTCCATGATCAAAAGACCAATACTTCTACAATCATTGACGAATCAAAAGTTAAATCTGAAAATGGACGTAGTAAAGATGATAAAGGTAATGATGTTTTCAAATGGTTACCAGGGATTGATGGAATTCAATTACATAAATTAGATTGGGATCAACCTTCTTATCATATTGGCTTACAATGGATTCCTGATTGGTTAAAAGATGGTGAAGAAGAAGAACCATCAGATTCTCCAAAAAATAGATTAGGTATTCAAATTTCATGTTTTTGGGGTGAATATGAACGTGAATCAATAATTGATGGTAAAGGAGTTAGAAAAATTCCAGCATTTGATGAGTTATTACAATATTCACCAACTACAGTTTCATGGACTAATAGATATGAAGGTCTTGTTAAAATCGATAGATATGTTGAAGTTTGATTTTGTCTATCTTATACTAATTCATTCAATTCGTTCCAGTTTTTTATATGTTTGATCTTTGAATCACCTTTTATACCCTCGTCATAATTAATGTTTAATCTTTGTAAAGTCTTTGTAGCTGAACCATCACCAATCACTATACCATAATCTGTTTCGAGCATTGGTAAAACATCTGTTGAACTATCACCAATATAGTAAACCCCATCATTTATACCAAGTTTCCGTAGATCTTGTAATATTTTATGAACATGTTCAACTTTATCGGCACCTGTACGAATTGAAACATTTTCAAGGACTTGACCTGTTAATATACCTTGTTCAACTTCAAATTCATTTGTAATTATTTTGAAATGTTCATGTTGTTCAAATCCATGATCTTTAAAGATTTTATCCATTATTATTGAAGTCCAATTACAACTCAATAAAATAATAGGGATCTTGTTATCATAAAGTTTTTGAAATATTTGGAAGAAATTTGGTTTGATTTCAACTTTTGAAGATTGATCCTCTAATGATTTAGTTGAGATATCTTTAAACAATTGTAAACCAACATACTCATTCACGGAGCTCAATTCAACTTGTTTTAACCCTTTTTGAAATTCAAGTTCATCTTTGAATGTGGTTCTTTCACCCCAATTGGATGTATATAACTTATAATTTGAATAATAAACCTCTGAGAAATGTGACCATGGTTGTGGAAATTCAGGTTTTGTCAAATAAGCAGCTTCAGCAACTAATGAAATTGTGTCTTTATTTGTTATGGTATCATCCCAGTCCAAAACAATGGCTTTAATCTTGGGTAAAGAAGACATTGTTGATCTTGAAGATATGTGATAGAGTCTTGATGTTAGTTGTTGGAAGATGATGATGATAAGTATAGAGAATAAAATCCTCTTTGTGATATATTTCATGTGTTGAGCAGAAGTAGAAGGTTAAATGACCTAAGACCTAAGTTCGTGATATTTTGACATTTTGACATTTTGACCCAAAAAGCGTAGATCTGTAAAAATACACACAAATAATTTTTCAAAGTTATAACAAATACAATAGTCCTACAATTGTTATCGAATAAATAATCAATTTCATGTATTAATTATAGCAAAAAGCTTCATCAAAACAAGACGATACCCTATACAAATGAAATGTTTACGAACTCCTATATCAGTCACCTACTGGGCAAAAAGAATTATTCTCTTTGCAACTGTGACAGACTCAAACTGTGTAAAACTTATTCTCGCTAAATGCTGGTAAGCAAGACTTTGTAATTGATTAACAATGCCTCTATTAATTACCAACACAACTTGCTGAATTTTGAATGTAAGGAATTTTTAAAAAAGTTTGAAGAAGTTAAAATTTATTTTCACTACAAAAATTTTTATATTCATACAGGAAAAAATAAGAGACCCGTTGGATTTTGGCAGTTTAGGGACTACTAAGTCTCAATAGTCCACAAATCAGAGACTTTAGAGACTCGTTTTGATAATTTACCCGACAGTGTGAGACTAGTCCATCTGGAATAAAAAAAATTAAATTAAGGTAATAGAGAGATGAGCTTTTGAACAATATTTAATCCATAATTAAGAATAACTTTTAATAGTATTAGTCCACGTATAACAATGTCTGAACACGTCCCTGCATGGAAAAGAATTGGTCTTAAGGTGAAGCAAGAATTAGAAGCTGATCCATTAGATGTCACCACCCATTTGGATTCTGGTAAAGTTACAGCTAAACAAACTAAACTTTTAAATAAAAGAAAAAGACAAGCTCAAAGTGCTGATAGTGATAATACAGAGAAGAAACCACCAAAAAGACAAAAGGTTCCAAAAAGTGAAAGACCACCTCCTCCTGAAAAAGATCAACTTGTTTATTTAAGAACTTATACAACTGATAAAGATAATTGGAAATTTTCTAAACAAAAACAAAATTGGATTTTAAAACATATTAAAACTATAGAGGATAAATATGAAGATTATCTTGTTAATTATTTAGAAGGTTTACAAGGTGGCAGTTTAGATAGATTAGTTGAAGATATGAAGAAAGTTGTTGCAAGTTGGAATAAAGCTGCAGATGAACCACCAAAAGAAGAATCAAAACCAGAAGATGAAACCAATGTTGAAGAAACAAAAGAAACCAAGAAACAAGATAAAAAGAAAGATTCCAAATCAAAAGAAGTTAAAGAAGATTTAGAAAGTGTTGATAGTGATTATGCATTAAGAGCTAGAAAGATAATACAGAGAATAACTGATGAAAAATTGGCGTTAAAAGGTATAGATGATGAAGAATCCCAGAAAGATGAAAAGAAAGAAGATGAAGAATCAAATGAAGAATCAAGTGCAAGTTCAAGTGATGATAGTGAATCATCTGAATCAAAAAGCTCAGATAGCTCAGATGATAGTGGATCAAGTGAAGAATCAAGTTCATCTGCAGAATCTGAAGAATCTGAAGAATCATCAAAAGAATCAAAATCAGAAAAGAAGAAAACACCATCAAAAGCTGATAATTTGATTGTAGAACAAGTTGAAGTCAAAGATTTTTTGAACGATGATGACTATGTTGATGAACCAAAAATTCCAAAAAAGAAGGAAACAGAATCATCAGAATCCAGTGAAGAAGAATCCAATGAAGAAGGGTCATCAGTAAGCTCTGAAGATTCTGATAAAGAAGTTAAAAAGGATCAAAAGAAGGAAAAGAAGAATAAAGATAAATCTGAAAAAAAGTCCAAAAACTCCGATTCAAAAAAGGAAAAAAAGGATAAAAAGAAGAGTAAAAAGGAAAAGAAGTCTAAAGATTGAAAAATTCATGGATTTAATAGATTTATAAAGCTCACAAGTAATAATATTTGCATAAATTTTGAGATTTCCTTGTAGTTTTATATAACACCCCACCGCGAATTTCAAAAGTCCTTTAATTTGAGAAAAACACAAACATCAACACTTTTTGTTAAATCAAAAGACACTCTGGAAACACATCAATTTTGCCACTTTCAAAGAATTGATTCAATTTTTGCTTGAAAAAGATGTCTACAGATTTCAAAGGTGCTGACCAAAAGTTGAAACAGGTGCTAGACAAAGTCAAGGATGTTGATCCGGACTTGCGTTTCATGGCGTTAAATGATTTGAACAAGTTGTTGAGGGATCATAATTTGATTATCAGTACAGTCAACTCATATTCTAGTAAAATAATGAATATCCTACTTGATAGTTTGAGTGATTCCAATTCAGATGTTCAAAATCAGGCATTGAAGTGCTTTGAACCACTGGTTGTTAATTTGGATGATCGTGAAGTGTTGAACTTGTTGAAGAATTTAAATGCTAATCAAACTGCTACTGCATCAATTACTACATCTATTCATACAATGGCTATCAGTGAAACTTTGGAAAATTTAAATTTGAGAGATGCTTCTACAGGTTCATTGATTTTTGTGGAATTATTACCAACTTTGATCACACAGGAAACAGGTGTAATTAACTCTTTAGATTCTATTGAAATATTGATCAATTTGATTGGGAACTTGAGTAATGCTATCCCTGAACATGAATTATCTACAATTTATACTGCTTTAGTCAAGACTATTTTCGGAGATGTTAATATCATTAGTAAAAAATCAATCATTGCATTGGGGAATTTAGTTAATACATTATCACCTGAAGAATTTAGCAATGTTTTGAAATTGATTCAAGCAGAACATAAAGATACTTATGAAAATATCAATATCACATTCTTAACATATAATTCATTAGCTAAGGCTAATTCATCATTGTTTATTCCATATTTAAATGACCTTGTATCATTTAGTGTTAAACATTTATATTTGGATAATGAAGATTTAGATGATGATCAAATTAAAATAGATGAAGTTAGATTTGAAGCATTACAATTAATTTCAAATTTAATTTCTGTTGGTGATGATTTTATTCCATTTATTGATCAAATCTTAAATATTGTTTCTAAATTCTTATTATATGATCCATATACAAATAGTTATGAAGAAGAAGAAGGAATTGATGAAGAATTCTCAGATGCTGAAGATTTTTCAGATGATGAATTTGATGATGTTGAAGAAGAAAGTGATGATAATACATGGAAATTAAGAAAAATCTCTGCTAAATTAGCTGCATTATTAACTCAACAATTTCCATCAATTCTTTACAATATTTATTCGAATGGTATATTTGAAGCATTGATTAATTCTGTATCAGATTCATCAGAAACTGTTTCATTTGAAAAAATCCATTCTTTAGATAGTATCATTGCAGTTACAATTAAACAACATGGTAAAAGATCAAGTCGTAAAAGAAGAGGTTCAGATGTTAGTATGTCAGATATTGATGATTCATTAACTCAATTGACTAAATTTAGAAATAAAATTGTTACAAAATTCATTAAAGAATTATCAAATGTTAAACATAATAATTTAAATAAATTTAATACTTTATTACAATTTTTCCAAAGATTTAATAGACTTGATGAAGATTTAAAGCCTTTATTAATTGCCATTAGAGAATATAATTTTGGTCTGAATTTAGATCTTTTAAAAATTTATTCTGCACTATTGACAAATAATGATTTAGAATATTTTGTATCTGAATTAAACTATATTGTTGATACTATTAATAGTGGATTAACAAGTAAAAATCATATAAGTACATTAAATTCAATTGAAACTGCGACAGATTTATTGAATCTAACTTATAATGAAAAATTAACAGATTCAATTATTGAAATTGCAAGTTCAAATAAAAATGATAGTGAAATTAGAAATACCACAATTCAAAGTGTTGGTGAATTGAAAACATTACCATCTAATAAAGTTCAAGATGTATTAAATTTATTTATTGATACTTTAAAATATGAACCAATTGTTGTTAGTACGATTAAATCAGTTACAAGTATAATTGAAATTTATCATGAATTAATTTCATCAGATATAGTTAATAAAATTGTTCAAATTTATGAGAAATTAGTGTTGGATGTTAATTATACATTATATGTTATTGAATCATTATCCACAATTGTTCATTATTTCCAAATCAATTCATCAATTGGTGATTTATTATTACAATTATTTAATGAAGATAAATATCAATCATTAATTTTACGTGTTATTTCAAGTTTAAATTTTGATAAAGAAAAATTGAAAACCATTTATATTAGAGCTTTAACAATTGATGATATTGAAGACAGTGCATTAATTGATTTAACCAAAAGAATTGGATCTGATTTGATTCCTACATTAGAAAATGATCAATTAAATACAAGAAATATTAAATTATTAGCTGAAATTATTGTTGATGAAAATTTAATAGATTATATTCGTATTAGAGAAGAAGAATTATCTCAAGGTAAAAGTATAATTTTCAATATTAAACTGTTGGGTTTTATTGGTGAAAAATTACCAGTTTCAATTTCCATTGATCAATTATTAAGTTATTTCAAAGATGATGAAACTAAAATTTATGCAGCTGAAGCATTAGGTAGAATTATTTCAAAAGATAGTAAAGGTTATTTATCAGATTTCTTAACTAAGATTAGAAATTCACAAGATTCATATTTATTAATGATTTCTGTTAAACAAATTTTACAAATTAATAATGAATTAATTTATGAAGATTTTAATGATATTTGGGAAACAACTATATCAGTTTTACAAAATACAAATGAAATTGATGAAGATTTATCCAAGATTTCTGCACAAATATTAGGATTAATTCTTGTTAATAATAATGATACAAATTATTTTTATAATAAGGCAACTGAATTATTAAAATCTAAATCACTTTCAGTATTATATACAATAATTGCAGCTATTAAATTTATATTAGCATATGATAATATTGTTAGTATTGAATTATTTGATTCATTATTATTACAAGTTTTCAATAAAATTAGTGATGAAGATTTAAAAATTAAACAAATTTCTATAATTTCATTAATTACAGTTTTAAATAATCAATTTGGATTATTAATTCCATATTTATCAAATATTTTACCATTAGTTTATGAAGAATTATCTAAAAAGAAACAATATCAAGAAACTATTCAAATTGGTCCTTTTAAACATAAAGTTGATAAAGGTTTAGAAGTTCGTAAAAATGCATTTGAAATATTATATAAATTAAGTTTAAATCATAATTTATTGAATAATAATGTTGATTTTAATGAAATTTTACATAATGTTATTGAACATGGGTTAAGTGCAGATATTATAACAATAAGTTCATTAATTATTATTAAATTATTAGAATTTGAAGATGTTTATTTAAGTGTTGAAGATAAACAATTTTTAAGTAATGGGATTGATAAACTGTTGGGAGGTATTAAAAAGAAAGAAGATCAACAAAAAGATTCTAAAGAAGAACAAGAAACTAAAGCAGTTTTGATCAATTTAAGAAATTCAATCTTTGAATAGAATAGATCTCAATTTATGTTGAAATGTTTGAATTGTTTTCTGTAGATTGTACAAATTTTTCATGATGTATTGTTTCTTTTTTGTGGAGGTGCGCAAAAGAAACGCAGGTGGTCTGGGGTTAATCTGTGGGCCAACAGGGATCTCATAGTAAAATCACATACAAATCATGAGTTTTAACACCAGAAACAAGCTAGGAAACCCTGGTAAATTGGAAGATAAACCTGATAATTGTAGTCTAGTAGATCACAGCTTTTTCCTACTGAAACCCTCTTTATTTCACCGATTTCCACTGCATTCCACTGCTCTTGTTATTACTTTTTACAGCCGACAAAGTTTCCCAAATTCGCCCCAGAAATTAAAAGAAAAGTCAAAAAAAACTTTAATTGATGGGCATCTGAAAATATTTTGGAAAAGTATATAAGTACTGGGGGATTTCTTTGATTGATTTCTGATTGTCTTTGTTCAATTGATTATATAGATCACAGATTCAATCACAATAATGACTTTAGGAACACAAAAATATCAATCAGAATTATTCTTACAAGAAGTACCACGTCCATATCCAAAATTGAAGAAAAACATTTTTGATAGTTTTTCATTGCAAGGTAAAAAAGCTGTTATTACAGGTGGTGCAAGAGGTATTGGTTATGCAATTGCAGAATGTTATAGTCAAGCAGGTGCAGATATTGCCATTATAGATTATAACATTGAACAAGCTCAAGAAAGTGCCAAAAAATTAGCCACTGAATATAAAAACAAAGTTAATGCTTATTTTGTTGATGTTAGTAATGATAAAGATGTTGATGCTGTTATTGAAAAAATTGAATCAGATTTTGGTACAATTGATATATTTGTAGCAAATGCAGGTATTGTTTGGACAGATGGTGGTATTTTGAATCCAAATGCAACAAATGGACCAGAAAAATGGAGAAGATTAGTTGATGTTGATCTTAATGCAGTTTATTATTGTGCAAGAAGTGTTGGTAAAATTTTCCAAAAAAACGGTTCAGGTTCATTTATTATTACAGCTTCAATGTCTGGTCATATTGCAAATGTTCCAAATTATCAAACTGCTTATAATGTGGCAAAAGCTGGTTGTGTTCATTTAGGTAGATCATTAGCTGTTGAATGGGCAGGTTTTGCAAGAGTTAATACTGTGTCACCAGGTTATATTGATTCAGGTTTATCAGATTTTGTTCCTGAAGAACAGCGTCAAGTTTGGTGGACTCATATTCCATTAGGTCGTGAAGGTTTACCACAAGAATTAGTTGGTGCTTATTTATATTTAGCTTCTGATGCTTCAACTTATACTACTGGTTCTGATTTAAAAGTTGATGGTGGTTATACTGCTGTTTAGAATCATTCGTTCAAGTTAATACTCTGATTTCTTTTGCTTTGAAAGTGAACTTACTATTTTTTATAATTTGATATACTACTATAGATTTTTAATATTTGATTAACAACATTAGACATGATTTATATAAATTCGTTCATGTAGATTTCATTTTGTCACGGCTGTTAAACAGTTCATGTTTGAAAGCTCAAATCCATCATTTCAATTAGTTCCATTTCGTCTAGCTTGACTACAAATCATAAATGAACGAAAAAAACATTATAGTATTCATAAAAACTAACAAAAAAAGATATGGTTTAAATCTTTATAATTTGATAAGTTCTTGAAATACCCTTTGATAACTTTTGAACAATTAAATATTTGACAAAATAATATGCGCAGACTAATTAATTGAATTAGTTTGAACAATAAGCCAGTAGGTATGCTAACGAACAATTAAAGAACGACTAGGACTAAAAAATATGTTCAGACATGGTGAGCAGACAAGGCTAATATCTATTACCTATGTCCTATATATATAAATAAAGAAGTTGAACATTTTTCTTTCAAAAGGAATTTGTAGTTTTCTTTGATTCGGGCCGCACAAATTAAATAAATCTGCAGTCAATAATTGTGTCCAAAATTTAAACCCAATATAAAATACTCTGAAAAGGGTTATAATGATTTGAAAAATAGTCCAATATATAAAATTGACCTTCTAGATCATGATGCGTCTATTGAATGTGCAATATTTTTTTCTAAAAATTTTTTTCAAGAATTTTTGGTATCTTTATAATTTAATCTTGAGTTCAAAATTGTCAAAGTTCAAAACACTAAAATTTTCAAACTGCTTCAATCGCTTTGAAACTATACTCACAGCATTTATTGAATTTTCAATTATCTCAATAAACTTTAAAAGTAACGAATTTTCGCCAATGGATCAATCTAAATTTAAAAAAACAATCAGCTCACGTGATATTCACATGATCCACGTGGGCAAACGCGGAAAACAGCAAATTTCACAAAATCAGAACTCGTCCTTGTTAGCTCAGTTGGTAGAGCGTTCGGCTTTTACAGTCAAACTAGGGAACACCCATTTCTTTAGCGGAAGTTAACCGAAATGTCGGGGGTTCGAGCCCCCCATGAGGAGTTCTATTTTTTTGCAAATTTTTTTGGATTTTTGAGTGAAGATTTAGCTTTAATTTGATTATTGTATTGGATTTTAGGTATTATTATTTTGTTAAGAACCGTGTATTGTTTATTTTGAGGGATTTATTGGTAAATTTGAAGTTTTGTATTACTCGGTGCATTGATTTTGTAGGCCGAAGAAGTTTGTCCTTATATACCCGAGCCCGAAAAATTTACCGAGAAAGTAATACATGGCAAATTGCAATTACTGTGATCATGATTGTTAGATACAATAATTGTTTATTGAATAGGAATGTTAATGGATCAGAGAGAATTACTACAACATATAATATAATCTTCTATAGTCATATAAACTCATAAACTAAATATACAGAAAAGAAAAACACACATAAACATCCAATAATAAGAAACTAAAAATTGGATTTTAAATTAGACATAATAAATATAATTTGAATTTTTTAAAACATAAATGATCAACATTTATATTATTTATAGTTTAATTATTTGTTACTTAAACCTTTAACTAATTCAATGTATTTTTCAGTTGAGAAAGATTTTGGTCTTTCAATTGGAGCACCAACAGCTCTATCAATAATTAATTGTGGTAAGACACCAAAAGCTCTTGAAACACCAAATAACACAGTATAAAATGATTCTTCAGTTAAACCATAATATTGTAATAAGACACCAGAATGTGAATCAACATTTGGCCATGGATTTTTAGTTTTACCATGTTTTGATAAAACTTCTGGTGCAACTTCATAAATTGTTGAAACTAATTTAAATAAATCAAAATCTGGTAAATGTTTTAAGGCAAATTCTCTTTGAGCTGTATATCTTGGATCTGTTTTTCTTAAAACTGCATGACCATAACCTGGAACAACTCTACCAGCATTTAAAGTATCCCATAAATATTTTTCAATAGATTCTTTTGAGAAATCACCTTTAACATCATCTTTTAATTTAAATAACCATTCTAAAACTTCTTGATTAGCACGACCATGTAATGGACCTGCAAGACCATTTAAACCTGCGGCTAATGATAAAAATGGAGAAGATAAAGCAGAACCAACTAAATGTGTGGTATGAGCTGAAACATTACCACCTTCATGATCAGAATGGATTGTTAAATATAATCTAATTAATTCAACAAATTCTTGATTTGAACCATAACCTAATAAATTTGCTAAATTAGCACCATAATCTAAATCTTTATTAATTGATGGAACTTTACCATCTTTGAAAACATTTTGATAAATTCTTGCAGCAATATTTGGTAATTTTGCTAATAATTCAATAGAATCTTCATAAGTATAATTCCAATAATCCTTTTTAGAGACACCTGAAGCATAAGCTTTAGCAAATTGAGATTCAGATTCTAATGCAGTAACAGCAATTGAAAATTGAGCCATTGGATGTAAATGAGATGGAGATCTATCAATTAATTCTTCAACATGTTTTGGTAATTGAGATCTTGCAGCTAATTCAGCACTTAAAGTTTTAACTTGAGATTCAGTTGGAACTTCACCAGTTAATAATAACCAAAATAAAGCTTCTGGTAAAGGTTCAGAACCACCTTCAGCTTTTGGTAATTCTTTTTGAATATCTGGAATAGTACGACCTCTAAATCTAATACCTTCAACTGGATCCAAAACAGAACCTTCCCAAACTAAACCTTTAATACCTCTCATACCACCATAGGCTTGATCAAGAGTTAATTCACCAATAACAGTTGAACCATAATCTTTTTTCAATTGTTTAATTTGATCAACTTTTTCAGGAATTAATTCAGCAAATCTTTGTTTAAGAGTTTTTTCACCAGAAGAATAAGATCTTGTAGCTAAAAGAATTGAATTTTTTTTCAATAAAGAATTTGATCTAAGAGTTTGAGATGCAAAACGTAAAGACATTATGGAATTGAGTGTATAATTGACTTTAAATGAACAACAACATAGTAAACAAAGTAAACAAAATCAAAGCAAGAAATCATGATATTTATATTGGTGAATTGAAACCCACATAAAAGTCATTCATTTAAGGAAGAATTCCGAGGGTGCGTCGTGACCTTTGCCCTTTGCCGTAGGATCTCCCTAGGATCTCCCGCTAGGGAGATTCTCTGCCTGGACGAAAACCATTTCTGCCTGTTCTGCCTAGAGAGCAGCCTAGCTCAATAGCCCCACTAAACAGCTACAACACGTCCCTCCACCTCCACAATGTCCCACAATTGTCACATTGACTCAATGGATAGTCAATCGATAAGATAATAAATAAACACATACAACATACAATAATACAACACACAATACAATACTATACAACACTACACAGCACTTGCTACCGCAAGCACTGTCTACTGTCCACTGTCTACTCCCACGCTTTCCAGGCAGCCCCCGGAAGTAGTCCCTTTAAATCATCTTGTAAATCATGTCGGTTCCGAGCAGATCAAAATTCAAAATTTCCTTAAAAACTTGAAAATGATTGAATGGAAGTTTTGAAAAATGAAACTTTTGTTATCTTTGACATCAATTAACTCAATTGACAAAGTAATTGATCCATATTAACCGATACTTCAACATTCAATTGACTTGACTTGACCTTTGACTATGATTCTATACAACTCTGGTATTAGCAACTACATGGTAATAGACTATAGTACACCACGCAAGTACCACGTAAATCTCCTGTCAAATTCATATCTCAGCCAATAATACCACCATGAGAATTTTAAACCCTTTTGATAACCCATATTGCATTATTGCAGATGAGGTACACAAACATAAACACCTACAAAGAATAGTAAGAACTATACTTTACTATACTATACCATTCTACTCTCAACTAAATCAATGCCTTATACTTTCTGATCTCAATTGTGCCATAGTATCATCCCTCGGTATCTCTATTTGTGGGTTTATACCTTGGCTTTTGATCATCCTATAACAATCAAACATAATTCCATCATTTCATTAATAAATTAAACAATACACCCTTTTTCTATATAGCCATAGCACTATAGAGTATTAAATTAAACTAATTTAACGGTTTAGTCATGCATTTAAACCCACTTAACTCAAATTTGTATAATTGGCTATAAAATTATATAGTGTTGATCAGGTACAACGGTTCGGTCATAAGATTATCCCGTTTGATAATCATTCATCCGGATTACTACGATATACTAGTTAGTATTTATATATTATATTAAATCAACTTATATTAAACTTATATTAAACTTATATTTCTTTTACTGAAAATATCTTGGTTCATCAAATACATGGAATCTATGATCTCTAACTCCATCTCCATAAAAAATATTTGGAAATCTTAAATCTTCATCAACTTCAACTTCATTTATACGTTCATTTAAATAATTAACATCATCCCCCTTATTGAGTAATTGAAATTTACCAACTTGTAATTCTGTATCTGTTATTGTCCCCCTTGAAATTCTTGCATATCCAGTTCTTTTCAAATCTTTATATAAAATATATTCACACCATCTATCCCAATCACTGGAATCAATATCATACATCCCACTTTCTTTACTAACATATAAATTATAATTTCCTTCTTTTGGTGTAGTAACTAAATAACTCAACAATATCAAAGGACGATCACTTGATCCCATTATATCTCTAATTCCTAAACTTTGTAAATAACGATCTTCTTCATCTTCTTCTTGACCTGAATGGAATACAACAACATCAACTTTCTCTCCATAAACATCTAAAGTTGCATGAATTGCTGGAGCTAATTCTCCCACTGGTGAAGGTAATAAATGATGTGTTGAATTTAAAATTGGGAACTTGGATAATAATGCACATCCCCATGTATGTTTATTTGGTCCTGGTCCAAAATCATAATACATATTTAAATCTTCACCTAATTTTTGTGTTAAATCTCTATTACCCATTATAATTCTTTGGGTATCACTTTCTAATAATCCAACAACATCTAATTCTAAATCTTGGATTAAAGAGGACATACGTCCTTCACTTGCCCACATATCATTATCTAATCCAAAATGAATTGTCCAAATACCTGCTGTAATTAATTTAGAATTTGGATGATATGGTTTTGGATCTTGTTTAGGGAATCTTAAATATGCAATCAAGACTGATAAAATTGATAAAATTATTAAAATTCTTTTAACTTTGTATAACGCATTGTTAATACCCTTTTTAAAACTTGATATATTTGTTGTCAACAATCCCAATACAATTAATCCAGTTGAACTACCCAATATAATATCTGTACGTTCTCTTAAAATCCATCCACCTGGAACAAATGCATATGCAACAATCCAAACATGTGCCAACATCAATATAATATGAACAAGGAATCCCAAGGTGAAAATAACACCAGGTTGGAATTTTGATGCATTACCCAAGATTATTGGTATTGAAATCATTAAAAATAAAATATATCCTAATCCACCAATATATCCAATCCATTCAGTACCTAAATAAAGTATAATTGATGAAATTATACCTAATCCTGATAATAATTTAGTTGAGATTGATTGAGAAAGACCTAAATATGAACCAATAATCATAAAAATTAAAGTTATAGCACCATGTGGTACAGGAATTGGTCCCTGGATTGGATAACCTTCCCAATTCCAAATAATTATAGTTGAAGAATCTGTCAACATTGCATGTAATGAAAAAATTAATCCACCAAGTCCTAATCCTGTAAAGAATAATGAGGTTTTGGCAGGTTTTTGTTCAACATTGATTGAAATTGATGTTGGTTTAACCCTTGGTGTTAATAAAGCTGCTAAAATACCAATAACTAAACCTGTCTTGTTCCAACCACCATTTGATTCATTCATAATTGGCCAAATTGGATTATTTGTTTGATTAGCAAATTTAACTAATGATGATAAAATTAATCCAATTGAAAAAGTTGTATAATAATATTTTGATCTTATATTTGAATTAGATTGACCATAATGATAAACTTCATTTGCTAAAGAGATACTTGCAAATGATGAAGCAATAGCCACGGAAATTAATCTTGAATCTGGATCTTCAATTTTATAAGCTCCAACACCTAAAATCACAGTAATTAATCTTGAAATTTGTGGGAATGAATTTAAAATTTGTTTAATTGGTGGGATAATTAAAATAAATGATAATAAAAATGATAATATTGTTAATTCAAACCCTGAAATTCCCATATTCCATAATGGGAAAAACCAAATTGTTAATAATAATGAAGTTATAACTGACCAAAAAATAAATGAATTTATTGAATTAATTAATAATTCTAAAAAAGGAACATCATCTTTTGATTTTGGTTTTAAATTTATTTCTTCCTTGGAGATTATTGGTGCCTCTGTTTGATCAATGGAAAATTGTAATGGTTTTGTTGAACTTAATGAAATTGTTAAATCTTTAAAATCTAATGCAGTCCAAGAATCAAATAAAACATCCAAGATAATCAAAGCCCATTCAAAATATGCATAAATACTATAAGCACCAGCAACTCTATGAACTTTATGTTGAATGAAAAAATAAATTAATGGAATCAATGTAGTAAAAAATGTTAAACTTGTATATAATCTAAATTTTTTCAAATTAGTTCTTGATGGAGTTGAACTAATAACATAATATTCCCATGGAATAGTTAATACAATATAACTAATCATAAAAACATCATGAGCATCATGATCATCAGTTGAAGTTATATAAACCCAACCACCACAAGTAACAGTTCTTATAATACCACAAACCACACCAAAAACCCCGAAATTTGGTCTCCTGGAGTCATATAATCTAATATATGAAATTAATAATAATAAAAATCTTGGACCTGAAGTCAATGCGATTAAAATTTGAAAAATTGAACGTTCTGGATATCTATCACCAATAGTTGCACTAACACTTGGAAACCATTCATCTGGATAACCATAATAACCATTTTCAACAATCTTGTAATAATGTAACCAAACACCAACTATTAATGCGGCTAAGAATGCAGATGAGGCACATATTGTATGAGCGTATGAAATGTATTTAGCATTTATTTTAATGATTGATGAATTTGATTCATTGGGTTGTAATGACATGATGAAGTGATGATTATAGCAATGAAAACCAGCCCTTGTATACTAATTTAGCAAATTTGAAGGCCAATGTATAGCCTGTGGAATGTCCTTTTGTAGCACCAAGCTTAGATTGAATCTTGAAGCTAGTTAATTGTGGGAATAAATCAAAATTGAATATGAAATTACTGTTTTGTTTATTCTTCTCGTTGAAGTTAATTTTTGTTTTTCACGACTTTTCTGAGGTTGGTAAACAAATTTAATGAGTGGGATATTTAAAGAGGTAATTATGGAAAAGAGTAGAGATATTAACTAGCATTAAGACAGTAATAATATCCAATCAATGATCTAGTTATCTTCCCAAAAACTCCCATTCCACAAAATCAAATATTCATTGATTTAAATACAAAACTAAATCTTCATTCTATTATTACATAAGCATTACATAATCATCTCCACCAAAATTCCATAAAAATTGAAATCAGGGGAGAAAACAAAGACGACGACAATCAAAGACAACAACAAAAGGGTACTGGAACCAACTAAACAGGTTATTATCATGACAAGTGAGTATCACCATTGGAATTAGCATGGTCACATTGACTAATACAAGGTTCACCAGAAGAACATATCAGACCACCGTTAGTTTCATTTGATGAGATTGATTATGAAGATCCAGTTGCACTTCGTAATGCACAAGAATCAATGATTAGAGAACAATGGATTAGATCAAATGCTTTAAAATATTGTCGTTTTGCCTTGGAGAAATGTTTTAGACATCATGGTGTGAATCATTATGAAGAATGTAGAGATTTAGCTGAAAAATATATTCAAATGTTACCAAATCATAAAGTTAAAGGTTATATGGGTTATCAATATAATGATCCAAGTAAATGATTGAGGGTTGTCTTATTTATTATTTATCATCTATTTATTATATTTATTATTATTCATTTATTATATTTATTTATTTATGCATATGATTATGGTTTATATTCGATGTAGATATAGTCTACAATGTACTATGGATCAATATTGAAAAAGATAATCAAAATCTCATTCCAATGTCATACTAGATATTCTCCAGTAATAAACAGTCGGAAGATACCTGTGACGTATATATTTGATATAAAATAGTTATAATTGAATATAATAAATCATATCAACCAAACAATCAAAGCACTTAATGATGAATGAGCTACCTTTCAGTTTAATATATAGCCCCATTACTAGTAATCAAATGACAATTCGAAATAATAACAAAAGAAACTAAAGTGACAATCTAAAACAATTTTGTGAAATAGAAAGTAATTTGTGCGTATAGTTATTTATAGATTATAAGTTTAAAAACTTGATCATTAACGTAGAGTTATATACTTAAAAGTTTTAAAATTTGTTTTTTACATATAGAGGTTATGAGCCCACAGATGCCACTGATAAAAATTTTGTTGAGTATCAACTTTCAAGTTCTATGAACGTTCGAGTTTTAACGTTCTAGCGATCAGTTGATTTTAATATTTCGAAGCAACTCTAATGTTTTGTGTATTATGTTCTCGGTCATGTTATGCATTGGGTCGTAAGGGTGATTAAACAAATAAGCTTTCTCAAGGTTCTTAGAGAGTTTTATGGAATCGTTTGGCAAATACCATTTTAATATGGTCATCAGTAAATTGAATGATGGTACCATTTTTGATAAGATCTGTTACAGGATATTTAAAAAGACTTTCAATTGATACTGATGAGTTACTTCGGTATAACTGCTTCAATAAAAGTTAACCACATGCCACATATGTTAAGATTGAATACCAATTTACAATATCTTACTATGATGACATTTAATGGTTTAATATACACTTGTTTTGGTGAATTTTATAATAATGTAGAGAATAGTTCAGTACTTAAATCTACATTTATGAAGTAAACAAATAGCTTGTATGGAAAAGATTCACAAGAGTCATTTAAAATGTCATCCTCAGTACTAAATACTCTTCAGTAATGAACTATTAATCTATAATTATTGATGTACCTACGTTATTTGATCAATTAATTAAAGGATCTTGACTATCTACACCTAGTGCAAATATTAATTGTCAACTTTATTATACTATTTCTTTATTTATTACGTGGAATATTAATTGTCAACTTTATTATACTATTTCTTTATTTATTACGTGGATGTTGATTGTTATGTATTTATGTATATGTAATTTAGAACGGTTTATATTGTACTCTGGGTATATATACAGTAAATAAACAGCTACAATGATCTAGGAATCGTCAATATTAATGAATCAAAAATTATCAAGAATTTATTCCAAATGTCATATTAGATTTTCTCCAATAATAAACAATCAGAAGAAAACTTGAAGCGTGTATATTGTATACTGCATTGATATATAACAGTCAAATTATAACTAATTATACGTACTCCTAAATAAGAGAAATCAATGTAAACAAAAGCAGCTTTAATAATGAGTTAACAGACCCAGTTAGTTCATATGAAGTGAAGTTGAATAATTTAAATTATGACACCAAAGCCTTTTGAAAAACTCAAAGACTCCGAGCAAAAGCAGTTTATACAATTAAAAATTTAATATATGGAATTTTTTGGAAGCTTCGCGCGAAGGGTACGTCGTTCGTGAAAAAATTATATTTCAATTTAATTTTTGTTATATAGTTTGATGCTTAATAATCTTTCAAATTTTAGTTGAAACATTTTTTTGACAAAGAATTCTAATACCGAATGCATTGGGTCCATTATGTTTGTGACACCATAAAAGGAGAAGAGTTAAGTCCTTGACCAGGTTTTAGTCTCACCTAAAGGGTTCTATGGAATTTTTCGGCTATACCGTTCTAAATATTCAAAAAGCAAGATATTATACCATTGTTGATAACCATTGATCATACATATATTACAAGAAATTTAAAATTGTTTCAATGTTGATCTTAAAGAGCTACAATCTGATATAATGCTTCAATCAAGTTTAACCATATGCCACATATGTTAAGATTGAATACCAATTACAATATCTTACTATGATGGCATTTAATGGTTTAATATACACTTTTTGATGAGATTCAAAATAATGTAGAGAATAGTTCAGTTAAATCTACAAAGTAAACAAATAGCTTGTATGAAAAAAGATATACAAGAGTCATTTAAAATGTCATACTAAATATTCTTCAGTAATAGACTATTCTAAAATACTCTTGAATTTTGTGTATATATGATAATTATAAACATATTAATGCATAAGCTGGGTTATTATTATCAATATATAACCTTCATATAATAATCTAATAACGTTGATCCTTATATATTCATCCACACTAATAAAAATCATGTAAAACATTGATCAAAAATTGTTAGCTAGTGGAAATATTCAAAAAAATACAACAAATTAGATTTTCAGAACACAAGAAAGGACTGGTTAACATTCTTATAAAACAATTGTTGAAAAGTGGAGGTGTTTCTTAAGGCCAAAATACCATTGGATCGTAAAAATACATCTTGGATCTTGATCTAGTGATTAATTGATGGTTTGTAATTTTGAATTTTTTTGGCTTGTGTTCGACAGTATTGCTGTCTGTACCATAATCAATTACTATCATACCATCATACCATCCTACAGATATTCAATTATTGACATCAAATCTAACATGTATTAAAATTACTTTTGAATGTATAAGAACTCAAACCCATAGATCTTCTCATAGATACCCACTTCACAATGATTTGATTAACCAGTACTAAAAAGTGGCAGGTATACCTCATTTTTTAAACATATTGTTAATTGACCGATATTAACCGATCTAACCGATCATCAAATTATCCTTACCATCTCTTTCAACTCTTTCAACCCATATTCCAGCCTTGGAATTAAATTACTCATAATTCAATTCAATTTATGAGATTAATCTGCTTTAACTTGCTAAAACCGCGCGCGCAGTTTATACAAATCGATAAACTGCATTTGAATTTGAAATGAAAAATGTAAAGTTAACAGCTTAACTAGTTACGTCGTAAAATTCAATCGATGCTCTCTGTTATACCATCTTGGGTGGGACTCATATATACCGTGGGCTACTATGTGAAGTTCCATATCTGATAACAATGTATACTACAAACAATTTCAAAATTAAAAGCATTCAATTAATATTGAAGGAATTTGGAAATTAGTACATATGCTTGAATCGAAAGTAGTTCCTTATATTGTTACATATGTTAAGATTGAATACTAATTACAATATCTTACTATGATGACAATTTAATGGTTAAATATACAATTTTTCATTGAAAATATGATTCAAAATAATGTAGAGATCAAGCAGTACCAGTACTTAGTTTAGTTAAATCTACAAAGCTCAAATAAATAGCTTAATATATGAAACAAAAAAGGATATACAAGAGTCATTTTAGAATGTCATACTAAATATTCTTCAATAATAAACTATTCTAAAGTGCTCTTGATTAATTGTGTAATATAATATGATAGTTAAATACACTTCAAAATAAATTAATTGTGTGATCATATTATTGAGGATCACTTAACTAACATCCTTGAAGTTCCATTATATCATGACTTAAATTACACTTTTAATGTAAATTCAATTTGAATTTAATTGTCATGAGCTTTATCTTCCAGCTATGTGAAAGACATCAACTATGCGAGTAAACTTGAGTGTATGTTCTTAGATCACAACAACATAAATAAAAATACCCTGAATGAATTCTGCCCAAACGAATCACTAAATCATGCTTTACAAGTTTTTATAAAACCTTAGACAACATATATTGGAATCAAATTTTCTATAAAAATTTGGCGGTTATGAGCCCATGGATTGTAAACGGGCTCGAGTCTAAAGAAATTTTGTTGAAATTTCTGAACTTGATATTAAGCTGTTTCAATTTGTCTTTCAATATTTTGTTGTTTCTTTGTACCGTTCTGAAATGAGGATTCAGGAGCAGTAAATTCGAGTTCAATACCAATAATATCTTCTTATATATAAGCAATTATCTCAAA